CCGGGTTGTTCAAAGCTGGGTTAAGATAACCCAGGATTAGTATAAAATTTGATTTAAGATCTGAAAGCTTGAAGAAAAAAATTCAGCTGAAATCTTTTTGTCTTCAATTTTTTGATTGAATGCTCTGAAAATAAATGGAGAAAATTATCCTCAAACAGCTTTTGAACAGAGAAAAATAGAAACCTAGATTAAAATTTAACCCTGGGTTAGCGCTAATCGGCCTTCGAACAACTGGGCCCAGGCCTTTGCCAGATCGTGCAAAATTGCACGATGACGTAAACCTCTTCGGAAATGCTCGTATTACGTCCGATCGCTCTAAAATTCCGACTGTGGCGAGTAAACATTCTAAGCCAATCACATAGCAAATTTTAGCTCCGAGCTATCAAAATTGACCTTTGGAGCCCTTTCCGGAAATCATTTTCGTACGACTTCAATCTGCGATAATGGCGTCTGGTGCGAAGCGCCAGAGATACAGCGTAGCTGAGGCTTTAGACATCATTTTTGACGATGGAAGTGAGCATGGTAGTATGTCTAGTGGTGAGGAATCTGAACTAGACAGAAAACTGGAAAATCCTAGCGAAGAATCGAGGTAAGTAATCTATAAACATTGTTGCGATATTTAAATGCGTGACGCACGTGATGTTGAAACAGCGTAAAATTAAATTTACTTTTACTTTTCTCGCTCGAATCCTTGTTTTTTGCCTTGAGATAGACCTGTAGATGTATATTTGTGAATGTAAAGCAATATGTATTGTGATCAAACATGATTTTTGAGCGACAGAGTAAATAATCTTCAATGGAATTTGACAACGCAACGACCTAAATTATCAGCCGATGACAGATCGATCGCATGACGCAGTGCGCGTCCGAACTAAATCAAAACAAATCCTTTATTTCAAAACGATAGTTGTATATAGATCGACCTGTACATTATCTTGTATGTTTTGTATGTTTTTTAGATGTGGTTCTACTTGTTACACGCTAAAAATTCTCAAAAAAAAACAAATTATGCTCGAGAATGAGTGGAATGATATAAAATGACAGTTTCCGGTTTCACTTCTGAATTGTTTACTCTTGAAAATACTGGTGGTGCATTGCAAGTGAAAGGCTTTTGATATATGTTGCGCTTTATGTATTTTGAGGTTGATTATCTCATTTGTCCCTGTTTCAAGGCAAAATTTCAGAAGTCAAACAAAGAAATATAGTTCCAATGGTTGCACTGTAGACTTCAAGAGGGATTAGTAAATTAGGGCTTGGGGTGATGATAAGATAAGGTCAGACTAATTAGTCCGTATGTCAATCTTCAAACAAAGAACAATAGTTCCAATAGTTGCACTGTAGACTTCAAGAGGGATTAGTAAATTTGGGCATTTCACTTCTGAATTGTTTACTCTTGAAAATACTGGTGTTGCATTGCACATGAAAGGCTTTTGATATATGTTGCACTTTATGTATTTTGAGGTTGATTATCTCATTTGTTCCTGTTTCAAGGCAAAATTTCAGAAGTCAAACAAAGAAATATAGTTCCAATGATTGCACTGTAGACTTCAAGAGGGATTAGTAAATTTGGGCTTGGGGTCATGATGAGGTCAGACTAATTAGTCAGTGTGTCAATCAGTGTTGACAAGATATGTGTAACACGTCTCAGATTTGTTATCTTTCAACCAATTTTTTATGGAGATGTTGCCCATATAACAAGGAACCTCTTAAGTTAATTTTTACCTTATTACTTTGTATTATTTGGGTATCACTTAATTCACAGTTCAAATTTAGATGATATTTTATGCTAATTGATGTTAGTTTGAAAGCATTCAATGAGTTGTTTCCTTTTTCTTGGAGAGGAAACATGCATTTCAGGAAAGCTTATTTACTGCTGTTTCAAGTGAGGTATAGCTTACTTCCCTTGTGTAAATACTTGGTGAGGAATAAATTTTTCAATAATCTGGGTCAGTTTTTATGGTTTTGGGGTACAGTTTGGAAAAAAATTCTAATTAATTCCATATTTGTTCTTTTTCAGCCAGAGTCTCTGGATGTCTTGCCCATAAGATAAGGAATATTTTATCTTAGAAATGTTTCCTTTTTTACTCCAATCCATTCAGGCTCAGGCTGTTTCAAAGTCAAAAGTTGTACAATAATTTACGCAAATTGTCTGCCATTTTCTTAGCATGATTTAAAATCCATGGATTTTTGGAGGCTAAATATATTTTTTCTGAAAAGCTAATTTTGTCCTCTTTCAAATGAGATATAGCACTAATCACTAGTGTAAATACTGTTGACAAAAAAAATAAAAGAAAAAAGGTTGCCATCATTTGTCGTTTTTTTAAGTTTATATGAAAGAGCTAAGGGAAAGAAGCATGACAACGAGGCCGGAAGAAGCTTTTAATCTGAGCCCTCTGTACTGCATACTGCAATATATATATGATATACGGTGAAGTATATTTTTTCCTTGTTGACCTTGTCAAGATATTCGTGCCTAGCCGTAAAAACTGACCGGGTTTTGAAGCCAATCAAAAAAGCTGCAGTATCACTCTCAAGAAATGATACGCCCGTCATGTAAGAACACTGGGATATAGAGAGTTTGAGCGCTGGAAAAGTATGGCTGCGTACGATATAACGCGAATGAGGCAGAGATCATTTGAAAACGGTTGTCAAGTCTCGTAATCCTTAAAGTGGCGGAAAAATAATTCCGTAAATTTCCAAAAGAACGAAAGTATTTCAAATTAACGGATGTTGCAGAGAGGGAAAGGAATTTATGGCTGAGGCAATAAATAAATAGGAAGACCTGAGTGAAAAAATTGCATAATATTGTTAAATAACTCAGTCACGAAGAAGTTATTGTCTCTTTTAATGTTTTCATAACCTATTGCTTCACGTGTGTTATTATGAAAACAAAGTTTAATATTCAGCCAGAATTTTATTCTATTTTCAGAGATTATCAAGGGGGGGTCTCCTTAGTTTGGATTCGCTTCGCTCTGTAGTAGATAAGCAAAGATTTAAAAGCAAGTTATCTTTTGTAATGGTCGGGTCAATTTGCCTTATTTTCTCGTTGAAGAAATCCTGGAGAGGCAGAATGCTCCATAATGTTAACTCGAGTTTAAGCCTTGTCCACCAGCATAGATTTGTGCTGTTGTATGTCAAAGAGCTTTCTGTCAAAATACAGTCACGATTTTACTTCATTACCCTCTTATCATGATATAATAAACAACAATAACAGCTCTTTGACATACAACGGCACAAATCCATGCTAGTGGACTAGGCTTAAATCCGAGTGAACATTAAGGAGCTCTTCACCTCTCTAGGACTTCTTTACCGTGAAAAAAAAAGGATGAGTTTCTTTTAAGTTCATGCTTCAGTTATCCGTTACAGAGCGAATCCAAACCAAGGGGACCCCGCTGGCAATAAATAATGACCGGTTTCCTTACTTAACCTAAGTTAACCGATGTTATACGACATTTGCTCTAATTCTTCGTTACTGGGCTTGCCATTCTTGACTGAATAATATATAGATTTAGCCAAGCCTAAAAGTGGGGCTATGCTATGATTCATCCCATCGTTGGCTGGACGGTCCAGTTTTTCGGCTCAGACAAATATCACTAAACATATTTGCTTGTATTTTTTCAGCTTTACCGACTTATAAAAAGAAACGTAGTTGCGACGTTTTGTGGTAGTTTCCGCTAAGTTTTATGACGAACGACGTACAGACGGGTGCACGGTGGAACAGACGGAAAGACAGACACGCAGTCGTAAGGACAAACGCGCAGTTAGAAAAGGAAGCAGGTCAAGACACAACGGTTGGCAGTCAATCAGGCAGATATCTGCCAGCAGCCAGAGACAGATTGGCTCGAAGGGAAGTGGAAAGAGAGACAGGGACAGGAAAGCAGGCAAACAAAGGCAGAAAAGTAGAGGCAGTCGTATGGGAAGATAGACAAACAACGGACATTTGAAAGTCCATCTTGATGAAAGTTTTCTTTTGGTGTCCATGTTATCAATAACTTCTGAACGCTCCATAGCACGGCGCCCTGTTTGTGTCAGCCATTTTTTTTAATTGCTTACATGTGAGTCAACACAAGAAGTTTCACGCTGAACGGACTATAGCATGATTTTAGCTGAGAAGAAACATGTCTCATCAATGTTTGGTCAATCCACTGTCTTTTCACTTTATCCTGGTCCTAAAGCATTACTCTCTCACTTGACAGCAGAATGGCGGATTACAGTTTTTCGCTAATTTTTGTTTCTGAATTTTCTGATCAGGGATGACGTCATTGCTTGGAAAAGCTTGGTGGTGAATTTTTTCTATTTAATGGGAAAAAATGTCGTTGTAGGAGCGAACTGTTGGGGGCAAGCTTTCGATGAGATGAAACCCCTATAAACCAAAAAGAGTCATAGAATTTCAGCGTGAGGAAAAGAAATTATATCTCTGATCTTTAATGCCCTTCCACAACTGACAACCAGCTTCTACAAACCTAATACTAAGGCCGTTACACATTTTATGCATATCCACCAAAGGAAAATGTAACTCTATACAAGATCATGTTTTTACCCCTCAACCCAAACAGTGTCTAGCTTCTAATTTTTCCAAAAAGCATCACTCCTGAATCAACAATTATGGTCACGAGAATAAAGGAAATGATCAAAATTAAAGAAGTAACTATAGCTAAACCAATTCTCCTTGTCAGTTCCATAGGAAATGCATAGTGAATAGTAAGGAGAATATGTATTCTAATGTTGAAGTGTGAAGGGTTAATTAAGATACTTCAGGGTGGGAATGTACTCAGCATGTCCTGAACAATTGACTAGCGGTTCTTTAGTAAAAAATAGCAGTAAATATCTATTCTCTTAAACTATTTTTTCCCTATCTTCAAGGACAAAGAAAATAAACAACTAACTAAGCGCAAAAGCACGTTGATGCTCTATGGAGTACTTAGACAGACATATTAAGTGATATAGAAATGACTCAACCTTTTAGAATAGAATACTACGGACAGGCAATTTTTACAATCTCATTCGCAACAAAACTGTTTTGCAAGAAGTGTGTATTGCACCTTTTTGTCGCACAAGGCATCGTACAAAACTTCAAAAGTGGCATTTGAGCCTTCCTTTTGTTTCCAAGCCATTAACATTTTAAAAGCCTTCCTTGCCTGCCTTTTATTGTCTTCATTAAAATTACTTATTGCGGCTTGGTGGAATCCCAGGCGTCCTCCTAATTCCTCCCATTTTTCTCCCAGTTCCAGAGACAGTTCTTCTAACTCGTCATCTGATGGTCCACCAGCCTTGACTGGAGCTGAGGATAAGTTATGGTAATAGCACTGAGTGGAGTCCAATTCGGTCTGTAATCATACGAGTGATTAACAAAATCGGACGACCGCGCAGCGGGACACTGATTTGTTTATCACGAGTATGATTAAACACGTAATTGGACGACACGAATTCTTATTATCAATTAGTCATAAAAATGAAAATTTCCGTTAAAAGAAGAATAGCTAAGCTATAAAAGAAAGGGAGAATTTGCATTAAAAGACTGACAAAGGAGGGGCAAATTGTTTAACGTCGCTCTGTTCTATTCTCTAAAAAGGGGGTGCTTCAAGGCTCTGGCAAATGGTGGACGAGAATGTGGCGAAAGGTGATTCACATTTTTAGTATCGTTTGATAATGAAACGTTGGCCTCGAGGACTGTCAGCATTTGAAGGGATTTGAAAGAGGGGTGAAACGACTTTCCTTGAAAAAAAAAAAAAAAACGCTCGGATTGCAAAAATTCATTATCGTACTCTGACCACCTCATTCACATATGACCAGCACCCATCTTGAACAAAGATGTCATGAACTACGTCTTAAATTTATGCAACTAGGATTTTTCCTTTAATTCTCCTTAGAATTTTCATCTACGGAATAAACAAATCTCTTAAGCAGGCAGTTTCTTACGACATTGTTCTTAAAAATTAAACATTATTACCTGCTGTCGCTTTGTTTCTTTTAGGGTCTGAACCAGAAGGAGGAGAAGACGACTGTGGTCTCTTTCGAGGAGAACCATCTTCAGCATCCGAATTGTCTGTATAAAATGACAATAAATCGTACCCACAGTGAAACATGTTGCATTTCGTATTTTACAGGATAATTAAAAGGCTCAAAAAGACCACTTTCAGTTATCCCCTTAACCAGAATAGATCAAAAGAACACCAAAGTATGTGTTATTGTCGGAGAAGAGTTAATTAAACGACATCGTTTATGCAAAAAAAACTGACCAAAACTGTCTTTGTACCAATAGGTTGGCTCCTGCACAGGTAGCCCAAGCGTGCTATGTGTGTGATTTTGGGTTTAAAGGTGATTAACAGGAGTACCTAATGAATTAAATGAAACTTAAGCGTATGCCGTAAAAAGAGAAAAATAATAAAAAAATAATAAAAAGTATATAAAATGATGATAGAGCCATTAAATATGCACTACATGCAGTACAAAGAAATTCGACAAAATAGTGTTAAAACGGCCAGAAGCGAAAAGGCGGCTACAGATTTAGAATAAAGGTAAGGAGACTTATAACGCTAGAAAGGTCTCATCGTTTAACAGCGTTTTTATACAGCAAATCCGAGTCATGCTGATGATAAATTGCGTGTGGATTTTTTTTTTAAACACAGAATTCCTTCGATAAAAGTATCTACTTTTGAACCAACTGCACACTTACCTTCGAAGTGAGGCCAGGACTCAAAAACACTAGAATCTTTTATCGTATGTGAAACTAGAGAAGCTGCCATAACACTGGCAAATAGTCTCCAATGATTAGTTTCAGATCTGTTTCCATCGGCGAAGTCTGACACGCCCTTAATGACAATCCATTCAATGTTGAGATCATGGGCAGCTGAGTAAAGACCTAAAAAAAGCATTTGGTCTTGAAGAAACACTGGATAAACGCCGGGTTTTCAATTTGCATTTTTAAATAGGTAAATGGATACGTAAATCAGAAATTATTAGCAAAGATGATCCTTGCGGTTGTCATACGATTAAAGAAACTGCACTTGATTTTAAATCAGTTGGACAGAGAGACACTGGCAGACAGTTAACAGTAAGACTCACGGAAGAACAGATGGAAACAGAGACACAGACCAATAGACACAACCATGTCAAAGAGAGAGACGCAACTACGTCAAATAGTGACACACATAGACACCAATAAACACAAACATAGAGAAAGTCAGTTGTCATACAAGGTGATGGGGAGCGAGCAAGGAAGAAATGAAGAGAGCGAAAACTAGATAAAATATTTAACAAATAACAAAAAAAAGACATAAGAGTTTAATCTTCGTTGTTCTTGCGTTTGTTTTTGATATTTTTAATGTGGATTTTACTCCTTCTGCAACTGCTGTTTAACTGCAGCTGAGATTCCATCACTTAGACATGTTTCGTTCCTGGGTGCCAAGCTCAGTGGGAATCAATTGTTATGGTTATGAATTTAAGTTGGGCTAATTTTAATGTAACTTGCCAGTTTTTATTGATATTTGAGGGCGAGGCAGTCAGAAATACTTCCTAACAAAGTAAAAATGGAATGATGGTAAACCTTAACTTAATTCTGCAGCCAAATTCATCCTAGCGTGTGTAACAGACAACAGACATTACAGGCAGAAATACTGAAAAAAAGACAGAGAGCCAAACAGGACCCTGCACAGATATAAATAATACTAAATGCGTATTTTTACTTTCCATGAATTACCTTCCCCTTCCATCTCAATTGCTGTTGCTTCTGGAAATCGTTTGATCAGTGCAGCACATCTGTCTTTGTCGTCAATCACCTCAGGCCCACTTAGAAACACGCCACCTCTGCGTGATTTCACTTTCAGACCGGTTGAGTTCTGAACGGGTGGTTTCCATCCACCTCCAATGTAATTGGCAAGTTTTGCCAGACGACTATTTAAAGGGACTTTAACATTTCGATCCTCGATCTCAGTTCCTTTCTGTTTTATGAAGGCGTAGGTAATTATCTTTGAACAAACTACCACATCACCTAGCTTCGCTTTCTCCTCGTTCAAACTGGCACAGAAACCCACATTAAACACAGCTTTGGGCTTCAAGATATCGACTGCTTTCAGGACAACAGTCAGGGAACCACCGGGAGTGCTAGAACCCATATTACACCTCATCACTGCGACCCTCACTTCCTCGTTGTCACGAATATTTCCGAAGTATACATAGCTAAGCTTTTTGTGATAACTCCTGACAAAACCATCTTTAAGAAAGGAAAGACAGCTTAGGAATTCGCAGTCCTTTACCGTCAGCAAAATAAAATGGACCGGTAGAAAGTTTTCTATGATGCTTTCCCAACGCTCTGAGCACTCCGGGAGATTTTCAAACTTTAGTACTTTAACATCTACCTCTGGTGGTTTCGTTTTACTAGTTGCTTGATTCGCACTTTCAGTGGTAATAGCTTCCGCCATGTTTCACAGGTTCCTAGGAATAATTATGTGATCAATGAGATAGTTATTATATTCAATTCTCAGAATCAATGCTGATCAGCCTTTGGCTGTCTGAGTTCTAAAATATTTTGAAATACAGTCTCCTCTTTGGTTTGATTAGCATAAAATCGATTGTGATAAATTGATAGCAATAATATGCCAAATTATTTTGAAACTGACATGATTTAACTAGCTAGCTGGACAGGAACTTAGTGATGGATAATGAGTCAAATCCAAGTCAATACGAGTTAGAGGAGGTGTTTTTTCCAGTGTTTCTACATCTTAAGTAATGTTCAGAGAGGAAATTCTCTCCAGTGTGATAGCGAATAATCCTGCTATTCCGGTAAAGGCTCAATCCAACCAGAAGAGCAAATCAGCACTACGGTGGCATATTGTTGTTGCTGGATATTAACCGATACTTCCCTTCAACATGGCGGGCTATATTGTCACATGTCATCCAAAGAATCTACTAAGTTCTCAAACAAGCGATATGAAGCTTTGATCTTGACATATACTTGCCTATCTATGAGGATTGTACTACTATCGTGCTTTGGTTAATATGACAACGTTGATAAACACCTTGCTATACAAAGCTTCATCATCCCATGTAAGTGATCATGAGTGGTGGGACAGTTGGAAACAACAGTGACAATGCAAGGTAGTGTTCAATCAATATCAGTGCTTTGTTTCACCGGTGATTTACGCTCCTGTTTCATTACATTTCTATGAGGCTACATAGATAACAAGAGGATTCCAGCTAAAAAAAGGACGTAGGTCAATGCAAGAGACATTGAATGGGAAGGGTGTCTAATAACTTCACAAACTGGGAGAAGCATTTCCATTCATGGTCAATTGGCCCTAATTGGGCTATCTCAGCCACGTTAATGGACCGTTCTTGGTGTTATATTATGTAGAATTCTGAGAGGGATTGCTATGATGAACTACAGGCGGCCCAGGCTCACGTCTCGTGAAAAAGCCAATGATTAATTCATGAACGCGTCACGCGTTGTGTGACTCGATGTTAAGTTAAGAGAGGAACTGTTGAAAATTTGAATACGTTTTAAGGAATAGTATGGGGAACAAAATATGGTCGATTTACAACGGTAAATATTTCGAAATATGAATATTTTACACGTAAAATCAACGACATTTACTCACATCCTGTGTGTCCGTTGTAGTTTCTGGCACTTTCTTCTGTTTGCTTTTAAGCTTTGTTTTAAGCTTGCTTTACCATCGCTGTTATTTATGTCAGTGATGGTAAAGCAAGCTTAAAACAGCAGAAATCGCCGTAAGTTAAGGTAAATGCCAATAAAGAAAAAAATTATTTCCAAAGGAATCTTTTCAAGTCGGTTTGGCATTGATTGATCATTCTTACTATACATAGGTGCAAGGCTTTTAATGACTGTTTTTCCCCTTGCTCTACAGTACTGTACTGAAATCCAGGAAATTGCTATTTAGGAGTGAAGCTTTTTTTAGCTCATAAATCCTTTCTGTTAGGCAATGATTGATTATTTTTAGTGCATGTAGGTGCAGCACATCTTATTATTGTTTTCCTCTGGTTTGCACTGTTGTGATCAAGGTATATGCCAGTAAGTAGAGAAGTCTCATTTACTGATGAATCGTGGCTGTTCTGCTCAGATTGATCGTTTTACAGCACACGTATGTGCAATGATTCTAATGATAAATTTTTCCATTACTTTACACTACATATGATCAAGGTATATGCCTGTTAGGAATGAAGAGTTTAGCCGAGGAATCCTTAATGTTAGGCATCGATTGATCAATTTGAAGTACTGTAAGTTCACTGCTTCTAATGCTTAATTTTTTCCTCTTGCTTTACACTTCTGTGATCAAGGAAGGTGCCAGTTAGGAGTGAAGATGTTAACTCAGGAATCCTTACTGTTAAAGGCATTAATTGATCAGTTATAGCATAGGTAGCTGCAATGCTTCTAATAACTAATGTTTTCCCTTTCTTTAAAGTACTATGACCAATGTACATATTGGAACAATGCATCTAATGACTAATTTTATCCCCTGCTCTACACTATTGTGATCAAGGTATATGCCAGTTAGGAGTAAAGCTTTTGGCTGAGGAATCCTTACTGTTAGGAAGTGATTGATCATTTTACAGTTCAAGTAGGTGTACTGCATCTCGTGATTTTTTGTTTACTTTGCTCCTCACTACTGTGTTCAACGAATATACCGGTTAGGAGCTGAGGAATCCTTACTGCAAGAAATTGATTGATCAATCACAGTTCATGAGGTGCAGTGCATCTTATGATTATTTGTTTCCTTTGCTCTGCACTATTGTGATCGAGGTATAAGCCAGTTAGTAATGAAGCTTTTCTTTTTCGCTGATGGATCGTTATTGTTTGGCTAAGATTTATCATTTTATAGTAAACGCTTCTGCAATGCTTATATTCATTAATTTTTTTCTCTTGCTCTACCACACCATGATTAAGGTATAAACCAGTTCCAAGTTAAGCTTTTAGCTGAGGAATCCGAATCGGTAGGCATTGATTGATCATTCCATAGGACATGTGCGTGCAGTGTCTTTAATGTGATTAGCTTTTTCTATTGCTCAAAATTATCATAATCAAAGTAATTGCCAACTATGAGGTATGCTTTTTGCTGAGGAATCCTATCTGTTAGTCTTTGATTAATCGTTAAGAGTACATGTTGGTGCAGTGCATCTACTAATTAGTCTTTTCCTTGCTATAACTTCTGTGTTCAAGGGATATACCAGTTAGGAGTGAGGCTTTTTACTGATGAATCCTCACTGTTAAGCATTGATTAAATGTTTACAGTACATGTTGGCGCTATGCTTTCATTTGTTAATTTTTCCCCTTTGCTCTACAGTACTGTACATGATCAAGGTATATGTCAGGTAAGGAGTGAAGCTTTTTCAGCTGAGGGATCCTTTCTCTTAGGCATTGATTGATTATTTTCCAGTATATGTAAGTGTGAGGCTTCTAATTATTAATATTTGACTGGATCTTTCAACTTTGGAGCGCCCTCACTGATTGGATTTGGGAAGTAACTAAAATTGAAATTGAATTCTCCCTTGAATCTGCTTCAGTGGGCTACACAAACTGTTTCCCTGGCAAAAATGCAACATAACTGCATGGATTTTGTAGTGGTTAAGGTTTTCATATATAAATGTAAGATGGAAGGACAAAACCTCAATTTACAGACGTACCACTAACTGCATGAAGTATGAACAAATAGTAATATCCCTAAAAATCCTCTAGGAAAAGTTATATTTATATTGATAACTTGAAGCCCTAGGGGCAATGCAAGTGTTATCAAAACAAATCGTAAGATTAATTTATCTCATTTTTGTAGCGAGAACCGAAGAAGGATTATACGAGTGTACGAAAACAAAAGTTTTGATATCTACCTCACAAATTCATGATCTTTTAACACAGAGCGAGAGAGAGCAGATTGATAAACTTGCCTATATGACTAACAGTACGTCAGAGATCATATATTTGATCTTTCAAGGTTCCTAGACTCGAAGCACAACTGATAAATCAATTCTCAGCCTGAATTTCTATCGCCTACCTCTCAAATCATCCAAGTGTTATGTACATCTAAAAAAATGGGACTAAGTGGTTGTAAACCATGAAAACAGCGAAAATACATGTCCCTCTACGACAAAGTTATTACTCAGGAATTGAGTAAAATCGCCGCTTCAGCTTTATTCCAAATTACATCGAACGTTTTATAACTTGCGCTTCCGCCTAAACTGAAAATTGCTTTCTTTCAACGAAACATAAACAAAAGCGGGCATATCTGAACGGATCTTTTGAGATTCTTCTTCAAGAGTCTCTTTAAAATTCAGAATAACTTTACCAAACAGTTTAAGCCATTTGTTATCTTCAAGACGTCTTTATGTATTTGTTTGCATCTGGACAAGCATCAGTCATCGCTGTTTCAACCATAGACTGAACTTGACTAAAATAAGCGGATCAGTATCTTTAAACTGCAATCATTACAGATGCTCGTAACGTTAACTCGGTCGGAAGGGAATCATTCGAGAAGATGAACTATCGAGGGGTAATGAGAATAACCTAAGACAAAGTCATACGGCCATATGCGTGATTTAATTTTCACAGTATCCACTATTATTTAAATCATCTGTGGTGTGTAAAATTAAAACAAATGGATTGAAGGGTTTTTATCGAAGACTTTCGCTCTTGGATGTTTATCTATGATAAAGTTAGTCATCTGTTATTGATAAAAACCCGCTTTGTCTCAGTTCAGATCACACCGAAGGAATTAATGCTCGGCGCTATCGTCTCCTGTAATGTCTACAGTCAAAATATATGACTTTCTTCACTCACCTTCACTTTCTCTTTAAAATGAAAATGTCTGTACTTGACTCTGTGAAGAAGACTGTGAAGACAAACGATATTACTTCGTAAGTAGTTCGTGAATCGACGGAACTAATCGAAAAGTTAACACTTCTCAGACAGTTTCGTTTCAGACTTGCAATGTCGTTGAGTAGTTTATCAGACTCCTTAATTATGCAAACATAGCTAAGGTCACTCTGACGTAGATTCATGACGGTTACATGTTACTTTCTCCAATGGATTAAAGTCGTTAATTTATAGATATATATTAATTTCCTATTTATTTCGTATCATAATGATTCTTTTGCATTCAGGGAATGACTTACTTTAAATGTTTTCTTAACCTATCGCTTCTCTTGTGGTATGAAAACAGAGTTTTATTTTCGGTCAGAATTTTATTCTATTTTTAGAGCTTATCCTATTCAAGTCAATCATTCTTAGGTTAAGCAGGCAACCGGTCATTGTTTATCGCTTGGGGGTTCCCTTCGTTTGATTTGCTCTCCATTAGATAGGCATAGGTTATAAGCGTTATAACCTATGATGATTATTAGCATTATAATCCTATATAATGGTTGGGTCAATTTTTTTACGGCGATGGAGTCCTGGGAAGGCAGAGAGCTCCTAAATGTAAACACGTACGTAGTGTCCACTCAGCATGGATTTGTGTTGTTGTATATTAAAGAGCTAATATTGTTTTGACTACTTCATTACATGGTAGTAATGAAGTGAAATCGCAATTATAGTACAAGCAATCTCTTTAGAATTATCATCAATGTTAATTGAAGGCAGGATTTTTCAGGGAAGTTATAATTTGTAAAAAAAAGCTTCTTGATAGATTAATACAATATATACGATTTAAAATGCAACGAAAATAAAAACAACGTATGACAAGGAAAACTTATCATGAGATTCCAGCTCACCATCCATCTAACTTAAAAATCTAATAGGAAAAACTGGTGTATAAATGCCATTACCTTTGAAAGAGTAACTCATTATTGAAGCCAACAGATTATTTTTGGACAACTGTTGATCGTTTTGTCCTTATTTCAAAAAACCTATTTGCATCAGCAACTACTGAAAAGTCATTTAAGTCTCTCATTGACAGCATATTTCGTTCGCCAGATCCTTACGGGTTACCAAGTCATGACATAGGGCGTCATGTAAGACAAGATAGGTTGCTTTTTCACCCTCTCTTCTTTTCCAGTGAAGCAACATTTGAAATGGCTTTTCGGTGAATTCTTTATGGTTTTCGTCAAAAGCGTCCAGTTCTGGTTCCTTAAACTTTAAACGTCTTCCAAGTGGCTTCCAGTCTACGCCGATGTTTCTCGAAATTGTCTCTAATTCTTCGTCACTGGGCTTGCCATTCTTGACTGAATATTGAAAAAGTAAACTTAATGTTTGAAAGATATTCTTAATAAAGTAATTCTTGTTCTACGTAATAGATGGATGATTGGTTAGCGTCAATCATCCTGTCATGGAGTTATTCCTTGATCTCTTTAGAGGAATACAATGCATCACTTCAGACTAATTATTTCAAAGCTGTTATGATTCTCTCCAATTGAAAATCTTTGGCTGGAAATTGGAGCTTTTTGGTCCGGCCAAATATCACCAAACATGTAAGAACTATTCTGTTTTACCGATCTGTTTATGTTTTGCTCGAGAAAGACAAAACTTACACAATGAAAAAAGAAGCAAAGCAGTTGCGACGTTTTGTAGTACTTCTCCTTTAAGTTTTATGGCAAACAACGCACAGGCGGGCGTACGGTCGGACAGACAGACAGGCGGAAGGACAGACAGACAGATGGGCAAACGGTCGTACGGAAGATTGCACAAACAAACAAGATCATAGACAAAGGCTGGCAAGCAACCACGCAGATATCCAGTGCGGGATTGGGAAGTAGAAAAAATAACAGATAGAAAAATAACAGCTTGAAAAGTCCATATCGGCAAAAGTGTACCTTTGTTGTCCATGGCAGTGATAACCTCTGGACGCTCTATACCCGGGCTCCCTGCTGATGCAGGTACACTTGCACTGAGGTCACTTGATTCTAAACAAAATAATTCAAGAATTTAGAAAGCAAAAACTCAAGCTTCCTTCTTTCCAACAGGAAAATATTTTTTAATTCACGTAGACTAGACTGGCCCTTTATTAATGAACCATCGGTATTTTCAGTTCACAGGGAAGTAACTCGGGTTTTGATTCAGGTATGTTAAAAAGCCTAATATGTTGACGTATTTTGAAAATTGACTCAATGCATAAGATTAATAACTTGTTATACAGAACTTAGATTGAAATAAAATTACAATTAACGTTCTCTTAATATTCATGCAATCTCAGTTACTTTGCCATTATACCATCCCATGCTCAGTGGTTCTCGACAGCTTCAATAATTTTACGTCTACCTGCACAGCCGGCTCCTTTGTGGGAGAGGAGAGGGGATTTAGGAAAGAGAAATTTAAGATAGTGCTTTTCATTCTGAGTTTAACTGCTTCTCTTCCTGGCTAAGCCTATTACAAGCAATTTTACATAATGGATGGTCTGAAATAAGGTAAACCAAGATAATCTTCATATAAATAAAGGGGGCAAGTTTCTAGAGAAACTTTGGAACTCTAGAGCTCTAGAACAAAAATATTTATCTCTTAATCGTAACTCTTAATCCTCAAAGTATCAATGGTAACTTCAGAACTCTTTAAGGTTGCCAATTTGTAATATAAATTCAGTTAATAAACCAAAATATCTTGTAAGATGATCATAATCATATATGAGGTTGATTATGGTCACACAATTCATAAATCTATGAGGATATGAGAACCAATCATTTGGTTTAAAGAAAACGAGAGTGACGTCACCTTTATAATGTGGCCAGCTTTGGAAAACAACGGAACCATACAACATATTTTCCACAACTGAGGCTGCCATTACACTTGCAAAGGTCTTCCACTCATCGGTAATTCCTCCAGTGCCATCTGCATACCCCGATATTCCCTTAACGACAACCCATTCCATTTTCAAGTCATACGCCGCAACATAAACCCCTAAAGAGAGAAAAACATTACTCCATATAACTAGTTGAAACTAAAGGCTTTTTGTGTGGCTGCGTTAAAGAGGATTTCCTTCTTCTTATATACATCACCGTGAGAATTGACATTGGATTTGAAAACATTTGAAATGTAACAAAGCAGTTAACTCCTAGATACTCAATCAGTTGCCCAAAAAATAAATGGTTAAACTTCGAGACTGGTTCCTTTCTCCATTTCCTTTCGTCTGCAATCCCCGGTTTCCAAACGGAGTTGGACCCCTCCTGGAGTTGGGCCTCCGGCCCATGTCCACTAGGGTATATGAACCCCACTCTCGCAGATTCGGACTATCCTTTAAAAAATTTACAATTTTTTTTTTCCTCTATCATGAATTTATCATCTTATAATTAGGTCAAATTTTTGTCAACGCTTCTTTTATTGTGGACACAAAATTCCTAAATAATTACATGAGTGACAAACGCATTTTTCATGTAATCTTTTCAATCTTTTCCATATCCACTAGTGGGTATATGCTCGGGAGGGGGGAGATGTGGTCCAAATTTGCAGTGACACCGGCAATCGCTTTGTGTAATGTTTCGATTCACTTTTCGAAAGAAAAACTTTGGATCAGTTTCTATCAATACCGCAATCTCTATCCTTGGAGTTAAATATGAAAGCTGTTTTAAAACACAAATCTGACCTTCACCCTCCCTATCAATTGCTTTTGCATCGGGATAAAGACGAATCAGTTCGTCATATTTCTGTTTGTCACAGACAAACTCTGGGCCACTCAGATACTCCGCATCACAATGAACTTCAATTTCTCGTGAGGAAGGGTCGCGCAATGGTGGATTCCAACCAGCAGCTGCATCCTTGATAAGTTGCAACATGTTTCGACTTACGGGAACACGAGTAGCACCTGTTGATTGGACCTCACCACTCTGGACAATTCGAGAAGCATACTGAGTCATCTTAGAACACACGACTACGTCTCCCAGTCGCGTTTCACAACGCTGCAGCCCACTGCAGCACCCCACAGCGAACACTGCCTTAGGCTTGAGTATAGTAACGGCATTTTTCACGACGATTGTTGACCCACCAGTTGTGTTTGAACCCTCCTGGCATTTCATTAGCGCCACTTTCAAGGGTTCATCTTTACCTATTCCCCCAAAATAAACATCACCAAGTGCCAGGGTATAGCTTTTGAAGGAGTTCTTTAACAACTTATAGCAACTTAAAAACTCGCAGTCCTTAACTGTGAGTAACATAATGTCTATCGGAAGTTTCACATCGCCCCAAGGTGTTCGATCTCTGGGCAGGTTTCTAGGTTTTGGAGGAGTGAAGCCCTCAGCAAGAGACGGTGGTTTGTCTTCAATGCTTCGTGCAGACATGCTGTTCGTATTAGTCTTATTACTTTTGTAACTCTACAGATTCTCTTGTGTCATGGGCTTGAAGGATCCAACAATAGACAACAGCTGAAATAAAAGAAATGTAAAATAAAAATGTAGATAGAAGGTTGTTTAGTGTCTAAACAGACAAAGAGAGAATTCCTGCAAACTATGCTAAAAGTTCAGCCAAATAAATCCTTTAGGGGATATTTATCCAATGCAGTTTGCAGCTACTTAAGTGCACCCCTTTCCCACCCTTACATGATTTAAATGAATCTTTTCCAAAAGTTTTGAGTGAAAAAAAAAAGATGCAAAGAGCTGATTTCTCAGAGTAGATGTGGCCTCTAAAAACTTTTAAAATGGAGCTTAACAGTTCTCCCAGTTGCCCTTGCACCCACCCTCCCAGCCAAGTACTGGTGTCCCCCAACTAAGATTTAACAAATGCAACCCAACTAATGTGGAAATATATTTCCTCATTAGTGGAAATAAATATATATATATAAATAACTTAGCTTTTTATGATTACAGCTACATGCATGAGGCAGAAGATAAAATCTGGAATATACTATCCAAATAGTACATCACACAAGTAATTGAGCTGGTCACTCTACAATAGAGAAAAAGATGGCACAATGCTTGCAAACTCTGGGTAAATCAACCATTTTGATGTAGGCAAATAGTTTTGAAATACCTGGAAGGTGTTGTGTAAGTCATTTCAAAAATGCCTTTGGAATGCATTGTAGGTGGTTGTCCTCACAATAGATGGGCCCATGAGATCCTTACCCAGAGTGGCATCTTTACCCAGAGTTCCAAGTGCGTTATTCTATCTTTTTCTGTATTATGCATTGGATAGTCAGTCCATGACTGACACTCTAATTACATGAATTCAGTAGGTCAAACAGTGAATCACTTACTCAATTAATCAGTCAGCTTATTACTTAATCTATCAATTATAAATAGGACTTATGCTGAATCAAAACCCCAGAATTCTACTATCTATGGTGAGGCCACAAAATTCATAAAGTTCAGGTGAATTATGAAATCCTTATGCAAATACCAGTACCTATACCATTGCCAATATATCTACATGTATCAATCAAAATTTCACTTGACTAATTTGAAGTCTTGGAGTCTAAAACAGAATTGTAGCAAGCATCTGTCTTTAAAAAAAAAAAAAAAAACTATGGTTGTCAGATTTGTGGCGTTGACAAAATTACCCAAGCAAGTATTCATTGAGAAATAAAGAGAAGCTCTCAATTATCATATTTAAATTATATTCATAACTTGGCAAATTGTGTGATTAAATTCAATAGAACAAAGCTTGCTTCTTATTCCCACAGTGCACCAGGGCACTATGTTTTCCCATCTCTCATTAAGTATGCAGAGCACTAGGATTGGTCAATTTAGCAGGTTATGTACCACTGCACAGCCCACTAATGTTAAAGTTTTGTTTGAATGGAAATATTCCTCCTCTAATTTGAACCCAGTGATATAATAATTATCTTTCTAACCTTATTTCCTAGTCAATACTGTAAGTTATGGGACCTTGTTTTTTCCACTCAGATTTGGCCCACATACTTCAAGCCTATGCAATAATTTGGAGCAGAAAAAAAACTTGGTCCAATTAACTTATAATGCAGACTTAAAACTTGTTTACTTTTTTAGTAAGAGGTATGTACACATTGAAGTATGATGGAGGAGAGTTCTGATCTCAAAACATTTTATCCTCTTTGCTGATAATATAACAAGTTGTGTTTAATATCATGAAATTGTCTGGAGATCACGCGAGAAGCTACAATTGCTCTTAGAGGGGAAAACACACAATCAGATCTTGGGAGTTTTAGGGTTCAGTGTTTACCACCGAGTTAGAGCAGCATTTTACGTTAAGACACATTACACATTTTAGAGTGAGCAACAATTATGTGTAGAAAATGTTACTCGCTTTGTAAGGGGCGCAGGATAAAATTACGATCTACGGCCAGCTCGAGAATTACAGTTCGCGGTCCGATGTTTCTATAAACCATTGTACAACATATCAGATCCCTTTGATAAATGTGAAATAAGTTCTGAATATTGCTAGCAACAACAATGCAGAAAATTGTAGACTACCTGTGTCATATCATCTTACTGAAAGTATCTTGCCACTTCGTGTAAAAATGTGTACACACTGCAACTCACAAAACCTTAATGTTGCGATTAACTTTATAAATTAAACCGGAAGTAGAAGTTGATCGCTTGGGGAAGAGTGAATCTTCATTTGCAGTTGGAACGCGAAGATTGAAGTGGGGGTACAATAAGCAGATCCTGTGCTATTAGTTAGAATAGTTATAAACACTGAAAAGATGATGGAAGAAATAGAAATCATGCTTATTCTAATTTACAAAATCTATAATGATCGATTTTGCCCTCTGTCAACATTTATATGTAAAGGGTTGGCGTATACGTTTGGCACTAATATTTAATTCAAATAATCACATCGATTGCTGGGGAGATTATGAAGATCATAAAACCACACGTACCAGTCGACATGGCAGATAACATACCTCCGATTCCAAATTGTTGATAATCAAACCGCCAAATCTTGGCATCTACATGGACGCTTTGCCTCGTAACCAAACTGGTTTACTTGGAAACGAGGCTGCAATAATAAAGACATGGATGGGACTGTTAGGACTAGCGGAACTGGACAGCGGCACAAGTAGATTTGACGACGTATTGTAATGGATTTAGGATATGAAAAGATTCTACAAGGTCCTAAAATCTAAAATTCTGGCATATCTTAAGTTTGAATGATGACGCGAGAACACTGTGTCAAGGAAGAAGAAAAAGTTAATTAAACAGGTGTGACAGCCTCTGGATCAGGTTTATATTGCGAAAGAACCAAAATGTTACTTTGGAAAACTACAAACTTAAATTACGTATAGGTGAAATAACCTGTATGAAGTGTGAGATAAAAGAAAACCATATACATCACGAAAGAGTAAATGGCGCAGGGCTTAATATGTGCAAAGTGAAGCCGCTGAAAATGACGTTTACTTTCTGATGGCGCGCTATGTCGATTGCTAGGCACTGAAAGCAAGCCCCTTGAAATCAATGCTGTAACTCGAAAGCAAAATACGGAATTCGAGTGTTTCCTTGCAATGCAGATTTGTAGGGTTAAAAGGTCGCTTTAAGCAAGATGAATGACTAAAAGCTACAACATTGTATGATCGAATCAGTTGAGAACTGAAGACATAAATTTCAGCGAAAGGCATCGCTTCGTGTTCCGAAGATCCGACACAAAACGCGAACTATATGGTGGTTAAATTTTACTGCTTTTACAGGCGCCAGGCTGTAATCACGCTTTATCAAAGGAAATGTTTTCGTTCCGAGTCATTAATTCAAATAATATCGCATTACTCAGGGAGTAATCAGTGCAAGTGATTTTCAAGCTGAGGTATTTCTTTGGCTTTTGACCAATTTGCATACTTTCCGCGTGTAGCAAATGATCGCCTCTAGAGTGAACTGGGAGTTATATGTTCTTTTACTTTGCGTTTCGCTTTCTCTTCGATGTTTTTTTCCCTTCTAGACCTTCTAGCAACGATTTTCCGAATATTTAGAACTCCTAAGGAGAAGAGGCCACGAGTAGCACCAATCCAGATGGACGCCTTTTTTGTTTTGTTTTGTTGACAAAACTTTACTTGACAAACTTTATTTACGAATGCCTCTTGAAGAGCACTTCCTTTATCACGTTTTCTAAATTTTTAGTATAAATGTCTCGGCAGAGAGGACAATTTATTTTCTACAAATGGCCTCTGGCATAAAGATGTACGCATCATTACCCTTTTTTTTAAGCTTGATATCGGAGGAATGCAGCCAGCCAGAACAAAAGAAGTTGTTTGCTAACTTTATGATTGTAGTATCTCAGCTTTGAGAGGCCAACTGAGATGTCATGGCTTTGTTTACATGTTTGGCTCCGTTTGAATTCTTAATTTTCTATCTCAGGAGCTCGAGTTATCTTAACATCTTTGTAGGGAAGACGTTGTTAAGGGCCGAAAACGACATTCTGACAAAACTTGGAAATCCAGATCTATATCGTCCGCTCTAAAACTTCCTGTTTAAATATCTATCGTTTTAATTTTCTGAAAAAAAAAAGAACCCTAAATGTTGTATTCGCTGGACCAAATGGGTTCCTGGTTAAACAACTGGTATTTTCTTTTCTTTAAACTCCTTTATTATGGTTGTTTGCATAAAAAAGAGTTACGCGTGGTTAGCTCCTTTTTCGATAACTGTTGACGTCGTATATTTTCATTATCTGCTACATCAGGCCCGAACCGCGTGCATCTTTCCCACACTTACTCTCAGCTTACACACTGACGAAAAGTAATATGAAGTGGAAGCAATTCGCTAAGCTCTACATCGCCTTACTTCTATTGGCCAACTTTCACCAGATGTCGTCCACGCCATCGTCTAAAAAAGTAAACACAAGGACTAAGATGGACGACCCGACAGACAACTACGTATACGCGTGTCTCAGGTATGACTACCAGGTTCATGAAGCCTTAGCCTCTACAAAGCCACCCTTTGAAAACTACTTCAATATTTCCCGTGCTATCTATCCATCCGAAGATGTATCCTCTAAACTTGTCAATATCTGGGTGCATTTTACCAACTCCTCTGTTAATCTGACAGAGGTAAATCAACTGAAGTTCATTTGGAGTCGGTCTTGTTTGTACGTGAGTGATCGATACCTCAGTCTTAGAGCAATGGGTCTCTATTCCTTGTTTACCATTTGGCCTGACAGGGGGCAAGAAGACCTTCATATAACACTATATCAGTTTTGTGATCCACGGCAGACAAAGAGAAAACTTATTAACTTTTTGTCAACGGTAAGACCAGAATTAGCATTCTTTGATTTCTCTCAGTAGTGCTTTCTATGTCTACATGTTTTAAATTTTGCATTCTTCAGCTATACTATGTGATGGTTCAACTCTCGTTTCTTTTAGTCGGAAATCAGTTCTTTGACGAAAGCCTGCTCTCAAGTGCTATTCAGAGTGCTTTGGTCGTCATGATAAGCATTTGGTTCCGCTCTATCAAAGACGAGAAAGCTAATCAACAAGTAAGTTATGCAGGTAACAACAATAGAAACATTGAAGCGAACGATACAGGTCTACAACTGCTTGATCGTGAGTGAATGTTTAGAATACTTCGTTAAACCTTTCACCCATCATAAAACGTGAATAAACTTCAGGGTGTGTCAGAAACCACGAAAAACACTTCTTTGTGCTTCTTCTTCTCCTGTTGTGAGTGTGTAAAGATATTAAAGTATACCTTCGTCGATAGTTAGATTGATTTTTAAGTAAAAAATAGATCTTCCTTTGCAAAAGTACTGTGATGGATAGAAGCCAGCACAGGTTGTCTTGTTTCTCTCGAGGACATATTCCGAAGAAAATAAAGAAATGGCATCTTTGAGGTTTGAATCTTCTCTTGACCTTGTCATTTTTAAATCTGTATCCTTATCTCTGGCATGTATGTTTTAACTTAGGGCATAACTCAAATATAAAGTCAATGAGGAAAGATTCATGTTCTGAAGAGTCAAACTTGATTGCGAGGGACGGAGTCATAACTTCTAAAATGAAGTGAACAGTACTAGCTTAAAAGCTGTGTGGTATAAACGATTATTCGCTCCAGCAATTGACATGCCGTGGATCACAACATTGTTATTCCACCACACATATGTTACGATTCACATTGCATGAGTGGCCACACGTGGCTCAGTGCGTGAGAGCTAGCACTGCAAGAGCCTATGAATGATTCATCGCGCCTCAGGAGGTGTCTAAGTTGCGGAACAGTCAAATGATTGAGTGATTTAAACATCCTCTTTAGTCTCGTTGATATCAAGTTACTCGCTCATTGAAATCAACTTGTCCGGAAATATTTTGTACAGTGGTTCTCCGTAGCTCTTTGATAAGTTTTAAAACATCGTTCATTTGATCTTGAGCGCAGTTTCAGCGCTGCTTACTTGAATGAACGTCAATTGTATCCAGTTTGTTTTTATAAATACCACCATTAATAATAAAGAGCAGCTTATCCGTCGATGCGACACTGATCAGTGGTGGCATTTGAATGGAGTTATCCTCAAATATTGTTTTTGATACTAGGGATATTCTATGTAAGTTTACCTCAACTAAACTGAAATTCGAAAAATGGTTCAAATTCGATCTAGAAAGTAACAGGAATACTTCCTATTGTGTCTCGATATTGGTCAACCATGCTGTCAAATGGCCGTGGTAGCCATGAATCAAGCAGCATCTGGGAACGTTTTGGGAGCAAACTGAGTGGAAACTAGTGCACTGTAAGCTTTCCTTGGTGTGCTTTTGAGTGTAGAAATGATTAATACAAGTGGCAAACGAGCAGGTGTAAGTCGGCACTCTTAAGTGTAGCAACAATTATTCAGCTAAGGCGGAAATATTTATGCAAATTTCAGTAGAGATTGCTGCGCTCAAATATGTATATTGCGTTTTGACGTTGACGTTCGGTCGTTACACCGGAGAAATATGAGGACATTCTCGAATTTAGGATTGAATCGACCACGCAAGTCATGTTGAAAAATCAGAGTGAATTTTTTTTTTCACATTCTCCATTCTACGATTTAAACATGCGTTATGTCATTAGAACAAGAACATATTTGACCCGCCAGATATTTCCTCGACAAGTGAAGCTGAACAAGGCTAAGCTTAAAACTTGACAAAGCCAAGAAAACAATAAACCTAATGATTGAATGCACTGAGCAACGTTTCCTCGCAATTTTCGTCTGCCACACTATGAATAGAGTTGTTTTGAGGTCTAGTTACTCGTCCCGATCGGGTAGATGCAGGCTGGTTACTGCACGGCATGGAAATGTGTGGCTCCATCTCTGGATGGCCTATAAGGTCATCCCGCAGTTTTCCTCGTTCGATGAAGGATGTTCAAATCAAGGTAGAAGTGTTAAATTACTTCTCATGAAGTTTTTTTCATAACTGACATCTACATTGTAAGATCGTGGCTGCCCAGATTGCTATTCTCGGACAGTTGCTGGTTTGCCTTAATACTAAACCCACAAGCGATTGCGTTACTGAAGGCACCCTGACTTGATTTTGCCCTCCTCCTATTCTCAGTCTTGCATTACTGGCCATCTGACTAAGCTGATGGGGTGTTCGCATACAAGGAAAAGCTTATCAGATTTGACGGCAGAACGTTAGCTTTGAACTCGTGTGGCTTTCTCCACCAAACGAAGGCATGGAACTGTTGCGAAAAGAGCTTCCCTTGAGAGAAACATTGCTCCAACCCCTTGATATTTTTGAGATACAGACCATCATCTTTTTTCAAGCTATAACTTTATTTATCTCTCGCGAGTTAAAGAATTGTTCTGAGGAAGGTAAAACAATGATGAGTTGTGATGCATTCAAGGCTTATGAATACATTTTCAAACTTTAGGTTAGGCACTGGATGTCACTGACAAAAGATAATTTTATAGCGTAAAAAACGAAATCTTTCGTAGTTTGCTTCTTTCCCATAGCACATAGTAGTAAAACTTCAAATTAAGCTTATATCATGTATACATTTCCTTGGTTGAAATGAATTCCTGGAAAATTAAGTATTAAACGCTGGCCCTAAAAATCCCAAATTGATGTAAACCGACGATAAGGCACGGGAGAAAATGACTGGTTTATCCCTTACAGTTGATCCCTACCATCATACATGTCGCTTGGCCAATCAGCGTAACTCAGAAGATAATAGACGATTTTATATGGTGGCCAGTAGCATGATAATCCAAGAAAAGACCGAACTTTATCACCCAATTTTTAATGAATATAAGCAGGGATTCTGAGTCTGATTAAAGAAAGAGGTATTTTCTAAATCTTTTGAAATAAATGATGGGTATACCAGCGATATTCACTCCACAAATTTTGTAAATTTATTTCATCGTGCCTATTGTTATCAGTAATTGCTGTTTGGTTGGCTGACGAATTATTGATTTACGAGTTACTCATGCGATTGTGCATGCACAGTGCCTCACCTGGCCCCCCATTTATTGGCTGAGATATAATTTCTCGACTTGATACTGCATTACAGCTTGTCGCGCATACTAAAATATAGATTCTCGTATCATCGACGGACGAAGACGGATGTGTTGTAACGGCTTGATGTGCTCACAAATTTTTTAAGGTATAAGACAACGATGTGCGGTCGCTGCTAGCCCCGGGGTTAAGGTTAGAATCATCAGGAGAAGGTTTTTTTTTTACTTTTACTCATAAACTGAAACACTCTCTTTCAGCCTGGAAAAATCAGCGGAATCTTTAACGTGGGAGTATTTGACGTTCTGTTGCAACCCTCAGAGAGGAAGGCGTTGTTTATGGTGGGAACTGGAAATAGCGAAAGAAAGGGGATTGGATGTGCAGTAGAATGTGAGGGGAAATATTATGTGCTCACGTGTAGAGATGTTGCCAGCCCTGAAGACGCAGGAGCAGACAATGAGCACGAATTTATCTTAGATCGCTATTGTTCGAATCATCCAAAGCATGTCGGCAAACATCGCCCGAAAGCCCTAGATATTCTGTGCGATGACAAGCGTAGTTTTCTCCTTCTCCCAGATGACCAAGTTTTGAGTTCGCATTTCCTTTTGAGTGCAGACAGTAAAAAGAAAGAGAAGGTTTACTCATATTTTCTCAGTGATGATGGAAAACGAGCACAATCTATTGATTGGTCGTACAATAACAACACGAGGAAGTACTCCATTGGGCGTGACCTCGACAGAAAAAACTTTCTTGGTTCACCGGTGCTCTATTCTGATAAGACAGATAAAACCTTTGTGGTTGGAGTGGTTGGTAAGGAAGAGAACACTTATCACCCAATTTTCTTCGAGAGCGCCTCACTTCCTTATCCGGGTAAGAAGCTTACTTAATCCTTACTTAGTTTGCTTCCTTTAAGTAACTTAGATTATAGTCCCACAATCATTGGGATTTCATGTTCATGTCTTCATTGCAATAAGCTTTAAAAAGAAGCACTCTTAACGTTTCGCTCCGATCATTTCTCGTCGGGATAAATTTTCAATTTGGAAACCAAAAAAATCATGATACGAATAATGGTCATGGTCATTATACCAAATAAAGTGGTAATACGAGGAGTCTTTTAGACATTAAGGAACAGGCAAAAAAGTCTAGACCTCGAAACTACCCCCCGGAGTGGCCCGCCCAGCCGGAGTTTATCCCGGTTACCTTAACATGAAGCGACTAGGAGTATTACTACTCCCCCCTGGATGAGCTGTCAGATCATCGCAGGGTTACGGCCCCAGAATTTCATCAGGCTTTCCCACAATTATGATTAGCGAGCACCCATTTTTACTCCCGATTGTTGAGAGGCACTGTGAAAAAAAAGTGTTTTGCCCAAGAACACAACACAATGACCCAGCCAGGTCTCGAACTCAGCCCTCTCGACCGGGAAAAGAAGTCCTTAACATAACAGCCATGATTCCTTAGTGTCAAAAGAAACCACTTGATTTTAATGGCTAGCATCCTTCCTGCAGGTGCTCCCAGTCAAGTATATATTGTACCGGTTCCACGTGAAATAACTGAGGACAGGGTGACGTTGCCGTGGACAGCACCTAAAGACAATGGAGGAGTTATAACAGAGTATAAAGTCTATCAAAGAAAAGTTAATGGCTCACCTTCTGACTGGGAAAGAAAGCCAACTGGTCTACACTCTCTTCAGCATGAAATCGTTGGTTTAGAAAGGGGGAAAATGTATGAATTCCAAGTAACTGCCACAAACCGGTATGGTGAGAGCCCAAAAGGGGAGGACGCGACAAGGGGAGTAAGAGTGTTGGGTAAGGCTCTCAAATGTGGCTTTAAACTACATCTAAATGAAATTAGATTAAGAATATACATGAATCTGCACTGTATGGGATGGGAAAGGGTTGTGGTAAAATACTGTGTTCGGCTGAAACCGCCGATGATGCGAGGACTTCTTTTTTTTCTTCTCACGATTGAAAATGTAAATGAGAATGTGTTTTTAATATGTTTATGATTCCCTCTGCCTTCCACTCTTTTTGAAAACTGATGGGTGGCTCTTTAAGTAATAGAAAAAAAGCAAGAAGCATCAGGGTACTGAACTGTAGTTGAACTTTCCTAACATGTACTTGGTTCCTTGTAAAACTTTCCCTTTAAAGAACTCTTTATAACATTTCGTTATTCCCGAGGTATTTCACCATTGTCTGATAATCAGTATTGATACACAAAGAGGTAGATAGAAAATCATCTCGCACTAAGAATCTTAACCTACGCCTAATTTTGTCGTAATTGAGGCTCAGAGTGAAAAGCGTAGTTTATAAACTCTTTCAAAAAATTTTCATTCAAGATTTCCGAAAAGTATTCTAGGTCTAGTTAGATTTGCAGTCAAGAAGTATTTTAAGGAATCAGTTTGGCAAAGAAGTCAGTAATGGCTCCGAGGCATATCCAGTATTCAGGATTATGATAGTGATAATACACAGATCAGAAAAGGTTGATGATGATTCCATCTTTTCTGCAGGTGTTCCCAATCAAGTGAAAATTGTAGAATATCCAAGTGAAATAATTGAAGACAGAGTGACCTTGACGTGGAGAGCACCTGAAGACAATGGTACAGTTGTAACACAGTATACAGTCTATCAAAGAGAAGTCAATGAAGATGGTTCACGTTCTAACTGGAAAGGAGAGGCAACTGGTCGAGACGTTCTTCAACATGAAGTCGTTGGTTTAGAAAGCGGGAAAATGTATGAATTCCAAGTAACTGCCACAAACCAGTGTGGTGAGAGCACAAGGGTAGAGAAGGGCCCAAACATAGTCCAAATTGCATGTGGTAAGTTCCAGCCATTTTAAGTAACAATTAGATTGCATTATTGATTCAAATTTTTAATTTAGGGTACAGTGGTAGGAACCGAACACGGAGCCTTTAAAATCCGTCTTTAAACTTCACACGGTGAACATTCAAACATTTAAAAGCTGGCGAAATGATAAAACGACACTGGTAGTCCTATCCTGCCCACGACTCACATTTCATCTTTATACTTGGTGGCTTACTGGCTCTGCGAGTTATAATTAGGCTTTCTGATCTAAGCCTTCGCGGTCACAGGACATAAACAAAGAAATAGTTGACATTTCGAAACACTGATCCTGAGTGAGATGCCAAAAAATCAGGGACCAGCGAATGTCTATAGCCTGGGAGAGTGAGGAGTGGTATATTTTGCGGGGATCATGTAATTTTCCGGATGAACGGGTGATCAGTAGCCGCCAACAGGGTATAAAGGGAGGGGGGGGGACCATGATAAATTGACGACTAATTAACCGACAACGAAGAGGGTATCATCAGAATATTGCAGAGACTTATGGGGGAGTCAGCTAAATCTTTATCGTGACACGACTGAAATCCTCCAATTCCAACCACAATCCCCTTGAAGGCGAAAGATAACGATCGGTTGGTCACTTCTCCATACACGACCAAGATTCTCTCTGTGGGGGGTCCTTAAAATCACTAAACCCTTATGACTTTCAGAGGTTCGATTGTAATGTTAATTATAGTGAAACTAACATTTTATAGACATTTTTAAATTTCCTCCTTTTTCATAGTTTCACCTGATTCATTATTGGAGTTTTTGCTATTCAAGATTTTTTCGTTTCTCAACAACACGATCTGGTCTTGGCGGAATTGGACGGAAGGTATTTGTTACAGTAGTTTACGTGTATTTCGTAAATGACTTAGGGACTGGAGATTCGGATGCGTCTTCTGGCTAGCTCAACTGTGAGAGTGTCTGACTGTTGTGCTATCCTCTGATGGTTATCTTTATTTGGTATATACTAAAACAGTGGATAGTTTCGAAGGCGCACTCTGATTGACTATGCAAACTCCTAGACTTGCTCTTAATTAAGGTGCCGATATGTGATAAACATAGGACACAGATCTGGACAAATCTTTGATTATCTATTTTTTTAATTATCTCGTGCCTCTCCATAGGTTGAAGAGGTCATGGACATCGAAAGTGAACCAGACAATTGGTTAGAGTAATTTAACGTAGCCTCAAACAATATTGGCCGCGGCATTTAAAACAATTTACATCAGTTTTAATTTACGTTACATATGAAACAATGGATGGCGTCGAAGCTGCGCTCTGATTGGGTACTCAAACTCTAAATATATATCCTTTGCTATTCACCTCCTATAACTCGTGCAGGATTTGCGCCTAAATATTGTCATCGTTGTTAGTATAAATGAGTTGAAATCGTTTTTTGTGTCACTGTCTGTACTGAAACAACTAGTCACCTTTGAGCAACTGAAGAGAAAAAATCGCGTGTCGACCATTTTTTGGTATAATGACAATAATAAACTGATATTTTCATATATGCGGGTGTATAGTGAAAAATTATAAGAACGGATTTTCACTGAGGCGGATTTCTTTAGCGAAAGTCTTATTCAAAGATTACAGCTTAAGATTTAAGTTTGCAAACATCCTCAACTGATAAGGGCTAAAAATGTTCATCAAAACAGGTCGAATTAACTTGGACGTTAATGTGGTGATAAAACCAGTCATCAGAGCCGAAGGATAGAAATCCAACCAGGACACCTATCATTTGGATCCCAATTCACGTTGTTTTAAATGCACAATTATTGAATACCGAAGAGCTCGATTGGTTTACCTCAGTAAACTATTGTTATTTTAGGGGAGGGGCAGATGCGCAATGGCTCGGATTCTGACATTGAATTGATCCAGTTAAGTTTCAAGAGTAGTTAACTGGTCAAGAATCTAGATCTAAATAGCTGTTTTATGTGGGTAACTCATATTAGCCGGCTCGTATATATTATGTGTTAAATCACCGAATACGATATTTTTTGTAAATAGAATAAGAAGGATGGTAAGTTTTGAGCTCGGTAACGAAATAAAGAAATATGATTTTTCGTCTTGTCATGAGCATGGGACAAAAAAAATAATTCTGAGTCCCCACGAGAAAGCGAACCTCAGACCTTCGGGTTCTGCGCTCCAATGCTCTACCAACTGAGCCGTAGAGACTCTATGGTGAGCAAGACCATTACAAAGTTCATATATGATTCGCATTCTGCATATTGCTAGGATCAGCAATGTCATTAGCGTCATGTTTTGTAAATAGAAAACACGTGTATTCCACTGAAAAGACCTGAAACTTCTCTTTGAAATTCCCCAGCCTACCCAGGCACGGACGACAATCAAATGCACTGGGTTGCCTGGGGAGAGGTGGGGGGGGGAGGGGGGTGGGGTAATTAAAGCTTCGAAGTGATCTGTGCATAAGCTATGTGATGTGTCTTGTCCATCTCATTGAGTCGTTGCAAAGTTAAACGTTTACAGGAACAGATGTATTTATCACAATTTATTGTAAAATCACCCTCGGTAACAAACCTTAGATTAACTTCTTGATTAGTTAACGTGGACATTCATGGGGCCATCGCTGGTTCCCATTTAATAAAAGACGCTTTTTGATGTAAGGCTCGTTTTTTTAGTCATCAAGTTGCTCCAAAGCAAACGTTTTAAATAGCAATTGTGTCTTGCCCATAACAAATTACTCTGTTCCATGTGGCATGGACATTTTTCGGGTTTTGATTTGGGGGGCTTTGCAGATTGGCCTGAAGCTGCAAGGTCGAAAAACTTTTGGGGATACGTAGGTTGGCTAGGGTAGGTTTTTTCATTCAGTTTCCTTACTGTATCAGTCCTTATTGGTGGAAAACTCTACGATTTACTAGAATTCAATTAAATGAATCAAATGTGTGGAGTGCGCTGTCTGTTAGACTTTTATAGTAGTTTGGAATGTTTCTTTTCTTTCCCTGATGATTTGTAATTTCCAGCAATTCGCAAACTAAATTTTTAGCGGAAATTCAGGTTATAATTTCGGCAGTCCAGTAATTAAGACCCGCCTTCAAAATGTTCATGCCATATGGTATCACACACACTTTACAACGGGCAGGTGTCCCAATCTTTAGTTAAAAGTATCTAATTATTATGGCTATTCTTGCAAACGACTATATACCAAAATAATGCAACATTTTTTCTTTTTTTTTTTTTTTTTATCATCAAAACACTCTTTTCATTTGGCCTTTGTTTCAAGTCTACTCAATTTATTCCATGTTACGCCAGATATAATTTAATTATTTCTTAATGATACACATGCAGATCGACTAAAAGGCCCGTTCAACTTTTTCAATCGAATTTCAATTGTTTTGTCCTTAGTTTCAACCTTTTGCATGAATCGGAATTAATTGAAGCGTTCTTGTATCCTGATTATAGTCAATTGAAACCGAGCTGCTTTATTCAGCGATGTCTGCCGAGCATAGTCACATATAACGCTTCGTAAGCCTTTCATCAGTTTACTAAATTTTTCTGCAAAAAAGTTTCCAAAAGTCACCAGTTTACTTATAGACCGTTCCTCTCCCGATTTTCAGATCTCACAAAAATTGTTGTGATAGCAAGTTTAAAAAACTCCTACTAGAATAAGAACATGGATAGAAATTATTGATAATGGGAATTTGGAAGTCATTGCATCAACTACCTATACAAACAGTTGTTTTCGATGATTTAATTAAGTCTCCTAAGCTGCTTTCGCACAAAGATCAAATATGCCATGAGGCCTGGGTGCCTGTATGAGCTTATAGCTGCACATGTCTCAATGGACATTAGATTTTCAATGATTTATCTGCGGAAATAAAAGAAATAAAAAAAACTAGAAGCGGAAATTCAGTTGTTTTTTGAGTTTCTCTTTGTCTACACTCAGACATAAATTCAAATCCCATTCTGTTACATTGAACGAGACGGAAGAAGCATGAGCTCAGCGGAAAGAAGCAGTACGTTTTCCTCTCTTCCGTTCTCTTTCTTGACCCTTGCTTAACTCAAGCTTTTAACTTTTCACCAAAGAAAACTGACAGGACTGGTACACAATGCAATGCAACATTGCACTCATTACTGCGTATGATACATTTTCATGAAGAGCCCAGTCAATCTGCAAAATCTCCTAGAATGTTGTGTTCAACATTGTAGCGTGACAACTTTCACTAAACGATGCTAGTCACACCTATTACATTTCCTGCAGGGATAAATCTAGGATAAGTAATTAGAGGAAGGGGGTGGAGGAGGGGGAATGAAGCACCAGCCTATCGGTGCCTACACCCATTTTATGGGAATATAATGAAGAGTGCAGGTTCCCGGGACTCCTTTCCTTCCCTGTATCTGCCTTCAAGTTGATCACTTATGATAAGGAACCTATCGTGTTTTCCGTACCTGTTATCATTGGAAGCCACGCAAAAAGGAGTAGGAAAAGCCCTGCTGGGATGAGGAGGACAGCTAAAATCTTTGAGATTTTTTTGTAATCATCTACAGAGGAAAAGTTAGTAAAGGAAAGAAGATTATGTCGCGAAAGACTAAGTGCATTTATGTCCAGTTTGGCCTGTCCGCCTACGAGCAGCTTGTTTTTTGTAGACACAACTGAGATGGTTAGCAATCAATACTTACATTGAACATCCAGTATAGCACAACTGGAGTTAACAACTGAAACAGTGTTACTCGCAACACCTTGATATTTTCCACAATCTTCCTTTGTCAAATTCTTTATAGTCAGCTTCTTTTTGTCATCAGACAGACTGATCCTGTCATTGACCGTTAGAGTTGATTCATTTTTCTTCCATGATATATCAGGCTTTGGATTTCCACTAGCGTTGAAAGATAATGTTACGTCTTTCCCTTCCCTTTTCGTGACGCTTTGAGGATGTTCAGTTATCTTTGGGGAACCTGCCCGTAAACAGTAACAGAAATAAGGAAGGAAATAATTTGCTTAATAACGATAAAAACGATACAATCTTCGTTGAAGAGGGACGAAGTAAATGTCATATCACCTCACTTCTCATCGATGAAGGGCAAGTGGGGTTATTGACAGAAGTATAAAGTCTCGATTATATGCTATTGAAAACTGTGTATTTGGTTTGAAAAAAAAGTGCATTTATGTCCAGTTTGGCCTGTCCGCCTACGAGCAGCTTGTAATTAAACAGTTTAACCCCGGTTAAGAACGAGTCAAATTCGAGAGTTTTCTTATGGGCACAACTGAGATGGTTAGCAATCAATACTTACATTGAACATCCAGTATAGCACAACTGGAGTTAACAACTGAAACAGTGTTACTCGCAACACCTTGATATTTTCCACAATCTTCCTCTGTCAAATTCTTTATAGTCAGCTTCTTTTTGTCATCAGACAGACTGATCCTGTCATTGACCGTTAGAGTTGATTCATTTTTCTTCCATGATATATCAGGCTTTGGATTTCCACTAGCGTTGAAAGATAATGTTACGTCTTTCCCTTCCCTTTTCGTGACGCTTTGAGGATGTTCAGTTATCTCTGGGGAACCTGCCCGTAATCAGTAACAGAAATAAGGAAGGAATTAATTGTTTCTAATATTAAAACACGAAGACCGCTTGCGCGGTCTCGAGCCAGAGGTCCACGCTAAAAATGTACGAGAATATTATCTTTGGTATAAACTGAATAAGACAGAGAAAAATTAAGTCAAACCCTATCAAATGCAAAGGTAGGGAAGGAACAGTTGGGTTGGGGCTAGATGGAAAAAAATATTAGAGGATAATTACCCAGCATATTCAAATGATAATCAAAACTAACTACCGAAGTGCGTCACGTCACTTGAGTCTTTCAGCCAATATCATCATGGCAAAACTGACCAATCAATTTTCACGAACCAGAGAAACACTCGACTGTCTTGACTTTGATGATGACTGCCGCTAAGGTTGTCCAAACATCAGTCATTATTACCGAAAGCATTGCTCTTCAGTTCTTTTGCCAACTAAACAATCAGGATACGCGACCAAATGCTACACCGGGGGCTCAAACCAGTTACTCTGGTAATACTTTCCTACACCCATATCTAAAACCAAACATGACTAAAGGCCAGTAGGTGACTTATATGGTGATCAATATTTTAATTGATCAAAACAAATGAATATTATGACGAACTTACCCAAATTTCTCAGATCATCCATCCCAAATAGTCGTGGCAAAAAGGTTTCTTTTTCTTTATCAACCACGCCGATGACGTAAAAACGTTGTGTTTTAGGATCTTTCCACAGAACTGGAGAGCCCAGTGATGTTTGATCCCCTAAGACCACCTTTTTTTTAGGCTTGTACCTACCTGTTTCACTGTCTTTTACCCATTTTATTTTACGATGTATGTTAGGATACTCAATGATCAACGATTTAATCACATCTGGAGGGTTTCCCGCATTGCGTGATATTGCCTTCAGGCTCTTATCCGGTTTCCAGTGATTGGAAGGAGTCAGGAAGGAGAAATTTTGCTTAAAAAAAAAATTTTCACCGTCTATGTTGAGGTTTCGTCTGTGATGTAAGATTGGCTTCCTCCATTGACGAGCAGAAAAACATCGCTTCTGATTTTTCGAAGCAACTTTGTTGCAAGTAAGCAGATAATATTCCTTTCCGTCAATTTCCACAACACATGCAATTCCTGCATCTAATTCTTGCCCATTTATTTCAAATGTTAGGCGATACACACAATCTGGCACGTCGCAATCTCGATTTTTGAATGCTCTAGAAAAAAAAGTCATTTTCTGGTGAGAATATCTGCAAAATCCGCTGCAAGAAAACAGAACAATAATCCATAAGCGAATTGCTTTTCCATCTTTATAGACGATAAATTAGTGCTGTTTTTACTGTTCAAATCATTTCCAATCAATTGCAGGGACGTTTTCGTTTAGAATTAAATCAGGGATATAAATTTGATGTTGACCTTAGTGCAGATGACGGCCAAGTAGCGAAATGATACTTTCCGTGTGGTGAACTGCACTGAAATCAAAATTGCATTGAAAGAATCCTGACTAATTTTCGCTTCAACGGGATTTGAACCTTTGTTTCCTGGTTACTAGCAAGTAACTTTTGCTACTACTAATAATAATGATGTACGCAGCCACATCTTGAAAGCGCAGAAAATTGTAAGGGGCCCGTTATTCTCACAGGGGGAATTTTCTCACATTCAAATGAAGCGTGAATTTTTCCAAGCTTCTCTTTCTGCAGCACACCTCTGAGAATCATTTCGTTACTCGCATACTGTATCGTAACATCCGATTGTGATATCTATAGAGAATATCACATGGGCGCACGTAGATGTGGAATATTTCACTTCGAGTGTTTAAATGATATTTGGTCTCACTGACAAGATGAGAGAAGATTCGACAAACGGGCTCGGAGTGAAAATGGTGAACGCTTTGCCACTCATTTATCAACCTGACAGAAAGGCGCAAGAGGCGAGTGACAGGTGAAAATTACCATCTCCGTGGACTAAAATTGCGTGTAAATACACTACTAAATGCCCCTTCCAAAACACAAATATTTTAAAAAAGTAGCGAGGAAAAAACGAATAATGTATTAGTTTTTTGGCGCTTTTGAGTACAAAGCCTCCGATGAAATGTATTTAATACTGTTTGAGAGAGGTTAACATCCAATGTACAGCATTTGTTCAAAGCTATTTTAGGACAAAGGCAAGATCAGGGACCGTGACTTTCTACTTATTGACCAGCAATTAATTTGACAGTTCAAGCTTTTAAACTTTCAGCAAATATAATTTCAGCAAATCAACTTTTGCGCAGTTCTTGTCGAGCTTTCCTTTTGAGCCATTCGCTCACGAAACCAACCTTTTTACCTTAAAACTCGTTCATATCAAAAGATAAAACACGTGTATTCTGCAGGAAAGACTCGACCTTCCGGTTCAAATTCCCCACCCCGTAAGGGCCTCTTGTCAAAGTCCCTACTCTCTGGCCCATGCGACACTGAGTCAAATACCCCATGGGTTGCCCGGGCGGAAATGTTGAATATTCGAGTTAATCAGTGCACATTCATTTGCAGATGATTTCATCATATATTTAGAATGCAACATTGCCATTAACGTACGGCTTTGGGCCGCGATATATTCTTGAATAGTTGTTAAACTTGGAAAGCTAACGAGTCAAAATTCTAACAGGGCACTGCAAACAGTTACGGAATTATCAGACACCAAAGCTCTGATCTTTTGAAATTTAAATTATGTATTTAGTTGTAAGGTATCTGATACCTTTAGGGCGCCATTGACTAGATACGCGAATGAAACTAATGGTCAAGAACAAGGAATAAAGTAGAATTATCCAAGCCGGTCTTATAAGACACGAAACTTGAAGGCCGCACCCACTACCCACAACCTGTTAAGGAAGACCGCACAGCAGCTCGAACACCATTGAAAATTTATCCAAAATCTTCATTTGATGTCTAAAATATCCATGGGCATCTTCGAGCCTTTTTGTTTTGTCTTTGACTTTCAATTTTCTTACCTGAGTGTTTAGTGTGCTAGCTAGAGCACGATTTTCCCGAGGCACTTCTCTGTGACTTTAATCTAATGACGTTCAAAATGGCTTAAAAAATATCACAACGTAGCTCTTTAAAGAAACGGAACAACTTTAATAATTGCTCATTGGTTGAAATATAATACACTCCAACATTTTATCTGTGATTACCATAATTACGAGAAAAACGACACCATTAATGACATTCCTAGCGTTGTAAATCTTTAATCACTTTTGCGAGTCACGACAAGCCACGGAAATAATAATGTTCAGCCTACCATTAACAGTCTTAAGTACATAAAAAACGCGTGATCAAAAGTTTCGGAAGTCAATATCAAGTACCATTCACCATCGAGCAGCCAAAGAGAGCAAATCGCACGTAAGGAATAATTTCCTTCCCATTTCGCGGCGCAGTAAATATCCACTAATGTTCACCCCCACTTCGGTAAATAATTGTTAACTTATGGTTCCCCAACGAAGCAAGAGTGCAGTCTAACAGCACTCGAAATGACGCCCGCCGAATCTCTCCGTCAAAAATAAACACTTAGCCCTTTTACGATATTTATAAATTAATTTTTCCATATTAAGCCAGCAATTTTTATGACTTGGGTTTATTTGGAGAGGCGTAACGGCATACTTATGCAAATTTCCATGGCTGAGCACTCGTTCTTAAGTTTTGCATCATCCCATTCCTCTGTGTCATAAAGCACAGAGCCCACAAATTTTGGTCAGGATTTTTACTAATATCCTGAAAGATTCAAGCTAACTTCTATAGTAAACGTTTCAGATTGCTTAAGAATTTAAAGAAATTAATGCTCGCAATTATTAGCATTTACACCGTTTACTTAAAGCGAACTTGCTGGCTCTTGGGACGAGTGTGTGAAATTCTTACACCAAAAGCCTAATATTATAATCAAAACACTAGGGATAGCACTGAAAATTAATCCTTCTCTAAAAAAGTGGCTAACGACCAAAAAAAATAAGACCTGTACGGATATAATCGACATCAATAAAATGAAAAGCAAAGTTAAGTTAATTTTGTCTCGGATATCCCAATCCCTATCTGAGTAATAAAAACGCAATAGGAGGTAGAAAAGGAAAACTGCTGCCGCATGCAATGTTACGACAGGGATAGCCCAGTAAGGCTCTGTTATCATTCCGACCATCATCCAAAGAATAGAGTGAATCATTACAAAGCTACTTGGATAAACATGCGCCAGCTTCCACCTTTTCTTTTTTTCTTCTAAGGAGACGCAGCAATAAACGTAACCAAGTATATATGTTAATCCCATGGAAGATAAATAAATAAAAGGGTAAACCATTTTGTATCCTCCCTTACGCGTGCTATAAACAATCGCAATTATGCCAAAAAGTAATCCTACATAGAAGAGAGTAACTGAAAATGTTAATGTCGAACTAACCACAACATCTTTTTTTTTTTCTTGGAACAGCTGAATAAACAAAACTGTAGCAAAATATCCAGCAATTATAGAGAAAAACCAAAATGCCCAACAAACGTGAGGAAATATCTTTTTGGCTCTTTGTAGCTCGAAGCCAGGAGGCTTTTCTTCCATAACACATTCGACGTGGTTCAGAGCAGGATTTAGTTGGGCTGGAATGACAGCGATGTCCTCGAGCTGCAGAAACAAAACAAAAAGAAAAAGAAACAAAAGAGACATCAATAAACTATCTCCGTGTCATCATCAAAAAGAAGAAAAGTTCGACATTTTTCATCCTGTTTCACCGTAATCTTATTTACATTTTAAATATAATTTGAATACTAACATTTCTTAAATGAAAACTCCGATTACAGTTGTAACGTTACCTTCAACAATAGCATGCATTCAGTTGAAAAAACTTAAGAAAAACCTGCAAAACCATAGCTTATTTATATAACATACTCTGACATTTAGCTATCATTATTTATTGCTTAACAAAGCAACTGACACTTGGTAGAACCATAAAGGAAACTTTTAAATAAAAAATAGCCTCTATTTTGCGCGAAAATTTACACGAACACTATCTGTTCAAAGATGCGAACAGCTTTCCGAGAGCGAGGCTTGAAGAAAACTGTGAACTGTGTCGTAAATAGAATGTTGTACTGCAAGTGATTTAAAGTGTTTCGTATAACGTATTTTAAGTACTGTAAGTAACTGTTTGTTTGGCAAGTAACATAAGTAGATTGTTGTTCTGTTGGCGGTGTAACTGAGTAGCCTGTATTGTAATTAGCGTAAATAGTGTTCTGTAGGTAGAGTTTGTGAGGAGACCTGCATTGTAAGAAATGTATGTAGTAAATATATGTATCTTATTATAATCTTACAATATCTAAAATCTTAATGTAAAGTTTGATTCATATTCTGGACTTACCGTCGACAAAAATTGAACGAGTTTTTGTTCTGATGCCTCCGAGTTGCAAAATGTAGGAATTGTTATGTGTAGGATCTCTTGTCTTCTGTCCGGCCATATTGAACCCAGCGAATACAAACTTATGGCTAGCAAGCTCAAATATCGGTCGCTTACATACAAACATGAGCGGCTCCAAATAAACTTCCGTAAGGATACTTGAGTAAGATTCGTAGAAGAGTTTGTAAAATGTACCCAGATGTTTATAAGTTTAGACGATAGCTCCTCTGAGGGATAAACGGCACGGGATATGTTGAAGTAGTTGTCAAACGGAGGCTTCGTCGAGGTAAGCGTGTCTTGAATTTCGTAATCATATTTAAGACAGTGTTTGTTCCTCTCTAGCTGGTTTTGAAGGCCCGACGAGGAAAAATTTGTTTGTCTGGAGGCAGAGGCAAAATTTGTATCAGATTGTACGAGTAAAATCAGCCCAATTAAGAAGATGGCCATGGCAGTAAATAGATATTAGGTCGCAATGAGATCCTTTTTCTTACTCAACGACTTTATGAGACGTGACTTCTCTGAAAGCTACTATATATAGAAAAATATTCACCGAGCTACATTCCAACCTTTTACGCGCTGAATAATTAGTTTTACGTGTATTTCGGAAATGACTTCAAACGAGATGACTGTTAGGTACTACGTGGTCACTGTTTCGTCTTGCATAAGAGGAAGTTTGTAATCTCCTCATAAGAGGCATTGATCACGATATTGGCTCTGTCGGTGGGCTAATTACCCTTTTCTTGCAAAAAACGCTTGAGGATATTTTATGATGATTCCATTTGAATAAATTCCAACAGTTCAAGAAAGAATAAGTGATCCAGTTTTAATGAGAGGTTCTATTTAAATCGATATTTGGAACAAAGCAAAAGAAAAAAACAAAAAACAGAGCAATAGCCTCGGGCACCCTGTTGCAAACGGGAAGTAGTTCAGAGTTCTCTCTTATATTTCTTTTATCAAAGAAATGTGTCCACACCAAGCTACATTCCAACCTTTTACGCGCTGAGTAGTTAGTTTTATGGCCAAATATTTCGGAAACGACTTGAAACGAGGTCACTGTTGGCTTCAACGTAGTCACTGTTTCCTCTTACATAAGAGGCATTGATCACGATATTGGCTCTGTCGGTTGGCTTACTCTCTTTTTTTACAGAAAACGCTTCATCATGATTCCATTTGAATAAATTCAAGCATTTCAAGAAAGTATAAGTGATCCAGTTTAAATGAAAGGTTATATTTAAATCGGCTATTTGGAACAAAGAAAAACAAAAACAAAAAACAAAAAACAGAGCAATAGCCTCTGGCACCCTGTTGCAAACGGGAAGTAGTTCAGAGTTCTCTCTTATATTTCTTTTATTAAAGAAATGTGTCCACACCAAGCTACATTCCAACCTTTTACGCGCTTGATAGTTAGTTTTATGGCCAAATATTTCGGAAATGGCTTCAAACGAGGTCACTGTTGGCTTTAACGAAGTCACTATTCCTCTTGCATAAGAGCAAGTTTGTAACTTCTTCCTAGAGGGCATTGATCACGATATTGGCTCTGTCGGTTGGCTAATTACTCTTTTTTTTTTTTTTACAGAAAACGCTTTATCATAATTCCATTTGAATAAATTCAAGCATTTCAAGAAAGTGTTAGTGATTCAGTTTAAATGAAAGGTTCCATTTGAATCGGCTGTTTGGAACAAAGCGAAAGAAAAAAACAAAAAACAGAGCAATAGCCTCGGGCACCCCGTTGCAAACGGGAAGTAGTTCAGAGTTCTCTCTTATTTTTCTTTTATTAAAGAAATGTGTCCACACCAAGCTACATTCCAACCTTTTACGCGCTTGATAGTTAGTTTTACGACCAAATATTTCGGAAACGACTTCAAGCGAGGTCACTGTGGGCTTCAACGTGGTTACTGTTGGCTTCAACATGGTCACTGTTTCCTCTTGCATAAGAGCAAGTTTGTAATCTCTTCGTAAGGCATGATTACATTTCAATAAATCCCAGCAGTTCAAGAAAGTGTTAGAAATCCAGTTTAAATAAAAGGTTCTATTATTTTAAATTGGCTATATTGGAACAAAGCGAATTAAAAAAAACAAACAAACAAAACAAAACAAAACAAAACAGAGCAACACCCTCGAGCCCACTGTTGCAAACTGAAAGAATTTCAGAGTTGTCTCTCATCGATATTGTCTCTGGAACTGAGCCGGTTTATTTAGGCTGGTGCAGCTACATTTATCAACCGTTTTTCCGCACTACTTTCCATTAGCTACTAGTAGCTCAACAGGAATTGCTTCGCTTTGGTTATAACGTTGACAAACTATTTTAATTTGAGAGGTTTCAGCACAGCTCAATGAGTTATCGACAACCTGTGCTTGAAAGAAAATTAGCAGCTATGACAACCGATATGTCAACAAAAAATGCAACGAGGCGACAAGGGAGGTTGATTAAATTGTCAAAATATAACTAAATATCGTAGTACCACGAGTTGATAATCCGTTTCTCCTCTTAAAAAGCTCCATGACATGAACCTGGGTAGCCTGTGGTTCTCCACATAATTTGGTGAACCCAGATTACTTCAAACCTTACTAAGAAATTTTTGAAATTTTCCGAGAAGGTCTTACTGGCTTGAGTCACATTGCACAAAGATACAAATCTTTATCGAGAAAAGCAGGTAATTTAGTGTTAACGACTGAGTTAAAAACCTAAATTAACCACCGTAAAGGGTAAAAAAGCTGACGTTTCGAGCGTTAGCCCTTCGTCAGAGCGATTGATTACATTGAGAGAAGGCCTCGAACTTCGCGAGCTTTTGATTTAAGCCCGTGCCTAATTTCAGTGGCTTAAAACTCGTTTCCCATGCCCTATGTGCAGGTGAATCGGATCTAATCTATCTTAATCCCAAGAACTGACAGAAAATGGCGCAAACACCGTTAGTTTGAGGGCTTGAGAGGACACTTTGTGTTGTTTACATGACGTATACATAATTGCACGTAAGGCCTGGTTACATTAAATCAAAATGGCGGACGAATCTCTTCGAGTTGTCGAGTTTTACAGTGGAATCGGTGGAATGCACTTTGCTTTGAAAGGTAACACATTTCAGAGAAAGCGGTAATGTTAAAACGACTATTGAATCTGTTCTCACCATCAATTAAGGTGATTTCGAAACTCTCACCTCTCATGTCGTCTTCTAAGAAAATTGATCAAAACAGAATCGTCACTTCTCTTTTTGCTGGCTCAGATGAACATGCTGTGGCCAAAATGTTTCTTCCATTTGCAGGCACAGTAGTTTTCATCTCGCATAACGCTACCAGTCAGTCAGTTCCTCTGTTTTCCTCCAATGGTTGACGAAATGAAAGCGTTCACAACATCTTGATCAAACGTTGACTTGACAACTGCAGAAGTGTTTAGGGATTGAAAAGAAGGAAGAAGAAGTTCAAGCTTTATACTTGTGTGTATTAAAATGAATGAATCTCAAGCAAGAATCATCGGATGTTGACAAGATATTTTTCAAGTGTCCAATTGTAATCATGACCAGTTTTAATTCACCAAATCGCGATCGTTTGATGCCTAAAGTATAAAATAAATTACAAAATCTACACTCAAGTAAATCTGGTGACGTTCAGGCGTAGGATACTAGGAAAACATTTCGTGTAAATTGTTCAGAGAATTTTCTCTCAAACCACTTGGAATATCTGATAAGCTTCTTTTGCTTCCTTTCTCTGTTTACTTCTCTTTGAGATGTGACTTTCAGACCAGAGTTTTTGTGCTGTTACCTTTTATTTTTAATTACAATTTTTTCTACAGGTGAGCTAAAATACACTAAGTGACTGCTACACGTGCTACATGTTGTTCTATCTCCACTCTAATACAACTTTAATGTTCCTGTTTTCATGCCTGCAGGATGTGGGTTTGCTTGTGAAGTGAATGCAGCCTTAGAGATCAACACCACAGCAAATCAAGTGTACCAATTAAACTTTGCTGACACAAAACTGCTGCAAAAGAATATAGAGGTTAGTGTGCATGATTTTATAACAAGTGGTAAAATGTTCTGTATGCCTGGAAAGTGCCAGAGGAAATGGACAGAAATTTCAGCCAATCAATTTTTTAGACATATTTTTGCAATTAATCACAAGAAGTAACCTGTAGAGTGATACATTTCTAGTATTGCGGGATTGGTACATTGATCTCAAGGTGTATTAGCACCAGAAAATCAAAGGAGTTAGATAGGATGAATGAAGATACTTTATTTCAGACATCTGAAACTCTAACTGATCAGTTTCTTATGGTTTTTGTTTCCAAAGGAGAAAAATCAATCTTTAGAGATCAAATATCCAAGACAGTGGATTTGAGTTTAAGATCTTTGAAATGCCAGGATTATGCAGTACAGTTTACATGTACTGCAGTACCCCCAGGTGCATCAAGTGCGTATAATACTGCAGTACATGCAAGCAGTACTGTATATCCAAAGTAGTGATGTGTACTCCACTCAAATTTTAGATACTCAGAAAAGAATAGGCCTGCAGTGTGTACAAAAGCAATAGATTGCTTTAATACATAATTTTTAGTAAGTTTTTAAATTGCTGGGGTGATTAGATTAATGAAGTTCCTCATTTTATATCTGACTTTTCCTGATTATCTGATGTCTTAAAGAGTTATAGCTGTTTAAAGATGATGATAAACTTGTCTTTAAAATACCACATGTAGGTGTCTTCATTTCCTTTTTCAAAAGATAAAGGAGAATGGAAAATTATCTGTAAGGTGGTAATCTTAATTTATAGGTCAAGCATGAGGGATTTGCAGTTGAATGTTTACTTTGGAAACTAAACTAAGTTCAGGAATTTTCTCACCATAATTACATTGTAATTGATCTATGTACCTCACAGAAGAACAGTAGATTCTGTGTATCATTAATTTTTTTAGGGCATTACAGTCAAGGAGCTGGATCGTTTATCTGCTGATGTTTTCCTGATGTCACCCCCTTGTCAGCCATTTACCAGGTATGTGTACTGTACATTAATGCAAATGTACCATACATGGACATACAAGAGAATCTGGAGTTTCAACCATATAATCCTAAAAATTGGCACTCAAAATGCCAAACTGTTTAGATATGGGATGTGTTAATTTTCAGTTTTTATTAGCAGCAAGGGTTTAATATTTCATTGATATATATGCAGTTCTTTTTGTAATAAATTTGTGGTTTCTTTCCATGATACACAACTTGATCTTTTCTGGTAGATTAGGGATTAGGGGGATCTGATAAACAATGTATTTTATTTCTGAAATATTCATGAGGTACTTTCTTAACTTGTAGGGTTGGTCTTCAAGGTGCATCCAGTGATCCAAGATCAAGAAGTTTTCTTCACATTCTTGAACTCCTACCTCAGTAAGTTCATGTAGTTGTTATGTGTATGTTTAATAAGATTATTTGATTAAAAATCAGTGACACAAAATTGCCAAAAGAAATTTGTTGGTGTGATATAGGTCATTATGCAGAGTTATCCTCCAAAATTGTTAGTGCCTGCAATTGTTCAGTGTAGCCTGGCTACTGTGTAACTATTTTTTTTTCAATGATAGACTATCAAAAGTGCCAGACTACATTCTAATGGAAAATGTAAAAGGATTTGAAACTTCAGATACAAGGTAATTACTAGGTAATTTTGAATGCCTTTTCCTTTGTGCTGAATGATCAAATTAAGTTATATGTCTATGGTGTTAACATGTATATGAGAGAAAATTTTAAAAATGAAAAATTTCGAGACTTGCCATTTATCAGCTTTCTTAGATTAGAGCAAGTAAAAGATTCCTCTAAAATTAATAATAATTACCAGTATACTTTAAGCACTAGTACTAATGATAATAATTATAATAACATTAATTGACAATGGGGCTTTGCAGGGCCAATACAAACAATTGACATAAACGTTGTAAATAAACATGATGATAATGTTTTAAACATCCCAACTGACCAGTTGGCTGTATACAAAGTACAGCCAAGCAGTTGAATTTGTAGCAACCAAGAACAAGTCCAGTGAGTAGCAGGATGGAGGGCTTGAACACCAAATTACAAGACCAGTGCCCAGTAACCACTCAGTTACACTTCTTCCCCTACATGTATGGCAGCATTGTGGTTTATTTTGTTTGATATGGTTGTTTATCATGGCATACTATTTTTTTTTTTTATTCAGAGAGTATTTTCTTGAAACACTAAACACTTGTGGTTATAATTATCAGGTACATACAGGCATTCTTATTTTGTATAATGGTAAATTAACTAGAGTATTAATACATCTACAATCATAAATGTTGGCAAACCTATTTTGAAACAAAAATAAGTTCCTAGTCCTTCCAGGTCTCAAATTAACAGAAAAAAAATCTTTAAGTTTAAAGTAAAAAGAAAAAGGCGTATGAAATAGCTAGTGGGCTTAAAGGAAGCCTGTTCAACTCACTTATGGTCTTTTCTGTTGTCTTTTAGTAAGTAAGTGGACTATAATAGGTCAATTTAGCAGCCCATATGTCACTGTACGGCGAGCTAAATGCAAAGTTTTTTCAAAGTCAAATATTTGCCCTGTATTTGAGCTCAGAAGTATGCATATAATAAATACTTACTAACTTCATTTTGCCAGTCCAAAATAGAATTTACAGAACCTCTTTTCTTTCTCTTGTATTCCTATCACTTGTCTGATTTATATTGTAATGATATTGTGAGGAGAAATTCTGTCTTAGTAACTCATGGGAGTTAAAGGATTCACTAAAGTTAAGTCCACTACTTATGTAGATTATTTGTCATAGGTTGAATCATTTGGTAAACAATTCTAATATTTGAGCACACTCAGGTAACATACAATTATCATTTCAGCCAACATATCATCCTTTTTTTTCCCATAGGAGTTCTTACTGTCTCCAGGTCAGGTAGTGTATACATTGTTTTATGCCAAAAGAATGAATAATGTTTTTGGAAATTGGCTACTTTTGTCACATGGTACAAAATCACTGCTGGGAAGTTATCACTTAATAACCACCATTTAGGTCGATATTTGTCCTCAGATTATTTCTGACGAAAAGAAGAAAGCCAGTTCAAGAGTTTTACATTTTCATCTTTATTACTTTACATAGCAAAAAAACCAACTTGTTTTGGTAGTGACATTAAAAAGCTGATCTCACATGCTACATGGGAAGTACAAAAAATTTCATACAATTTTGCTTTCAATGTGCAATACAAAAAATGATGGCAGGGTTAAAAGATAAATATAACCCCTCCTGGCCTGCTGTTATGTCGGCTGATAAGGTTGTTTGCTCAGAGATTGTCCTCAAAATTTCACATTTGCCATCGAATCTTTGCCTCTTGGCCAAATATTCATTTTTTAGACTATCTCTCAGCCGCGAACATTATCAGCTGACATACCAGCCACCTGAAGGGGTTTATGAACTAAACAATTGTTTGCATTACTTTTGCAACTTTTGCACAGTTCTGTGTCAGGCCCAACTAGAGTTTTTAGTGTATTCAATTACTGACGGTCTTCTCAAATCATGTTTAAGATATTTTTGTATCATAATTAGGGTATAAAAATTTTCCATTCATTACAAATGTTTGGTGTTTAGTACATAGACAAGAGCCAACAACTCCAAACGCAAAAAGTTATCTCAGGATGTTTTGGTATTCCACTATTCCCCTGTCCTTATCCCCAGTCCCCACTCCCTGGCCCGGCCTAAGCCATCTATGTGTAACCTTTTTTATTCCCCCCTCTAGTTGCAAACACATTTCCCTGAAAATTAATTATGAGAATTTGGTGTTAGATCATGATAACAACTTATACCCGATAAGTTTGAATATTCTCATTACCTGTTTGCTGGATAATGTACAGATATTAAAGGGAGAGGTTACATGTTGGTCACGTAAAGGAGTTTAAGGGTTAAAGTACTGTAAAGTACTTTTAGTGTACATCTAATAGCATTGTTGCACTGTTACATTTGCAGTTCGAAATCCCCAACTCTCGTCTAAGGTACTATCTTTTGGCAAAGAGGAAACCCCTTCGATTTTGCTTCCCAACACGTAATGAGGTAAACAGATTGTAAACTACTTATGTGGGCTTTAACCACCATGGCGACATTTTCTAGAATACTAAAATTGATATTAGAACGTTAATTTTTCGCATTAAAGCAACATACGGTATATTTACAACAAGATTTGACTAAAATCTTTGAACAGACCCACCTCTGGTTATGTTACGGAACTCAGAGCACACAGGTCTCACGTTACGATTCGATTATTGCTACTAGCTGTTTATGTTTCTTGATAGCCTCTATTTTAACTCGTTCACCACACTCCTACATAACTAATATGTCTACTAGAGACACAAGTTGACAGTCGGTAACTTTTTTGGTCGACAGTTGACAAATAAGACTAGGTTTGCTTTTCTATCTTTGACAGATTATGGAGAGCTTTCCAGACATGTATCTCCATGCCGAAAATCGATGTCACTATCAGTGCAGTGGTTGTGGAAATGACCCGATGTCAACAGGGTATGAAGTAGATGTGGATGACCACGAGCAGTCGTCTGCGACAGAGTGCACTGTTGAATTGAATCAAAGATCACATCATAACCCCGCCTGCTCGAAATGCTTTAGGACAAGAAATGAACGATGTTCAGAAGTACCCGCAATGGACTCAAGTAGTCAGGTTTACGAGCTAAAAAATTGTCGACGAATCTGTGACTACCTAGAGAATGGTAAAGATGATAATTACTTCGAAGAGTTTCTTCTACCGGAGAAGGTTCTGTGTAAATTTGCACTCCTTTTAGGTAAGAGCATGACGCATTGAGACAAAGCTTATCCTTTAGTAAAACGTCGTCCTGTAATGACTGAAGATTAGTTAAAGCGGTTTTTGAAGTTCTGTAGGATGCCCATTTGCCAACGGGCTCGAATCCGAATCTAGAGGTCCGGCAGTGAGCCTTGGCCGGGGCAGTCGGGGTTTCGCTCTTGGAAAGGTACAAATTCTTCTTTCTTCTCACAGAGGCTTCTCCACTCAGGAATATAAATAGTTGCTGGCAAACTGTCAGCGCAACTTGCAACGAATTATTCAGGCTTACCTGTGATTGACTGGCATCTTATTCAGGCGGATCCTTACAACCTTAATCTAGCCTTTTACCTGGGCTCAAGAAAAGAAAGAACTGAAATCATTTCCAGAACTGGCTGTCCCTAATGTTACAGCTAGACATAGTCTTCTGTTACTACTCTCTTCAGAAAAACAAATCATGACGCAAATCATGAGTTAACGTGGATTTAGTCTCAAAATTATTACACTCACCTGCAGCGGACTTATCGCAAGCACGGCGACGGTCGGTATTATTGAATTCGCTGGGTCAAGCAAACATGACATTCAACAAGGGAATTGAACGAAGCAACCAAGAAGCATCAATTCCCGTCACACCAGTATACACCAAGGATTTTCATGCTATTGAGACCGGGACACACTCTGATATTTAATGGGTCGTAGTGCATCAGCGGTCTGGCCCGAATAGTTTTATTAGAGATGCATCCAGTTTTCAGTGAATCTTTCATGAATTAATGACCTTACAATAAAAAAAAGTCTTCATAAATCGATTACTAAAGGTTCCCGCCTATGCGTAAAAACACCTTTATTGACATGGGAAGATGTCAATGTTCACCGCAAATTATTCTGCTTTTCAGCTTCAGAATATGAGCTGCCACTTAATACATCCATCATCTTTCTTCATCCTTCTCTTTCTTATGAATGCATTGTTTGCATGAATTTCTAGAAACATAACATGTCAGTCTTACAAATATTACTGCCTTGTCCACGCTCTGTAACTGTTTATTATCTTACTTTCACAGACATCGTCAATCCTCAATCTGAGCGTTCCTGTTGCTTCACAAAGGCGTAAGTATTTTTAAACACAACAATTACAAGATTTTCCTTTGACTTTCAGATCTTTATAAGGAAAAAACAAACAAAGCAAGAACAAAAAGTAAAGAGACAAGGAAAGCCAGCACGTAACCATGAACATCAACTTGAATTGTTCTTTAGCAATCCAAGAATGCATAGGTTTGCCTCACTTAGCTCTTGGATTGGTCTTGAAAACTTACCTCTTTTTTCTTTTCAACCAATCTGCTCGGTGCCACACATAAACCAATGGCGGCTTGGTCACCTACATTTTTCCGCGCGTCAGGGAGTTTGCTTGTCTTTACTTTGAGTTTTGTTGGGTCCTTGTATTTATTTTTGTTGTGAGTGGGTGTTGTGATAACTTTGGTTCTGGTTTTACGACACACAGTCAGAATGCATTCTACGTGCCAATCAGATCATGCAACTGGTTGAAGGTGTGCGGAAAAACTGGTACGAATGCTACGTATACTTGGATTGGCCATGGTATTTTGTTCAGTTTAAATGTCGTGTTTAATGCCCCATGCATCGTCTTTTCGCTGCAACTGCGATTAATCTCATTTTTCCCCTTTCTTTTTCTTGTGCATAGTTATGGACATTATGCTGAAGGAACTGGCTCAGTGCTCAAAATGGCAAATATCGATGTGAGTTTTCTTCTTTAAAATTTTTTTAATCTATTACTTCGTTCTCCTTCTATTTTAACTTAAAGAAAGAAACTGAAAGGAGAGAGGATAAAGCAAAGAACGAAACATTTATTTTGTATCCACACATTTCACCCTTAACAGTGACTTCGATAGCCCCACACGAATCAAGTACTGTACTTGGTCACAATTTTGGACAAAATCTTTGGTAACGCTTGGAACTGAATCTCTGAATTTGTTCAAATACAATACAATATGGTGTTCCCTCTCATAGGTTGCCCTTCTCCCCTTCTCAGCGTGATGCTCTAAGTCATGCATCATATGCTTATGAAAAGCAATATTTTAGTATGGGGTTATTGGAATAAATCATAATGGAATTGTTTGATTAAGATTTTGGAGAATTGACTTTTCCTCATGTAGGACTGAGACAAAGGGAAACTGAAGATACTAAATGGTGTTAATTAATGTTTGTTTATCACGAAAATCGTGTCCAAAGATTTTTTGTTTACTTTTCTTGTATACTCATTTTTAGCGCAGGAGTTTGCTGGAAAAGAAAGACGTTTCAATTATCACATTACACACAAAACTATCGTTTCTTTCGTAATTCGAACGCTTTCAAAATTGGCAGTTTCCCACACAGAGCTAAGTCATCTTTTGGCGATCGAAGATATGTATGTAGGGTGTTTATGGTGCATCCAGACCAAGTTACCGTCTTCCTATCACGAAGACTGTATCAATGTAACAGACATTTGTTATCCTTCGTAGGACTCAGATATCTTCAGAAGATACCAGGATCTTACAGATGATAAACAAAAAGCAGAGCTTTTGTCAATATTGAAATTGAGGTATTTTACCCCACGTGAGGTGGCAAATCTGCATGGCTTCCCCTTCGAGTTTCGTGAGTATTATCAATCATTTGTTTTTTACTTTCAATCATGATGGCACACGCATCTTATGTCTTTATTTCCCATCCAAAAAACAGCGACAACAACAGAATACAAAACCTAACACAAAGCACTCACAAAAAGTGCAGTAAATTGTCAATGATTTAGGAAACGAAGGAACGTTATATTTACATGCCTTCATCCTAGTATAATTTATTAGACGGAATACCTGCAAGAACATTTCTTATTGATTGCTCGCTATGTATCTTATTAGTTTGCCAACCATCTCTCTCTCTTTCTTGTTTTAATAGGTTCCCGAATACATTTTACGCTTATTTTTTGTCATCGGTTAACTTACATGATACAAATACCAACTGCCTTCCATTTTAGAATCTACGATCCCTTAGGGACTGAAGTCGCCGTATTGTTACTTGGAGCTTTACTTACTGTCATTCACTTTTTTGTTTACTTTATCAGGTTTCCCTTCGTCTTTGTCGATCAAACAACAATATCGCCTGCTAGGAAACAGCCTCAATGTTCTGGTGGTGTCTGAGTTACTGAACTGTCTCTTCCACGCGCCATAATTTTGCAAAGAGACAGACTGGAGATTGTTCGTGTCTGTGCGGAAAGAAAACGATGATGCTTTGAAGAAACTGTCACAGTGACATTAGTTATTTACGGAAACAAGAGAGAAGACGTGCTCTACAAATCGAACATTTTTTTTTTATCTGTAAATAATATAGATTTAGCCAACAATAAATGCGTAGCTCCAGTTGGTATAATTTTACAGCCTTTCATTGAGAAAGGGTTCCCAAATCCCAATTTCGCGACTGGACTGGATTTAGAGTCAAGGGTTTTCTTTCTTTTTTACTGTTTTGAGGGCAGGCTTTCTTTTTTTTTACATACCAAAAATACGGGGGTGGGGAGATCACTGATAAGGTGCAGAGCATAGTGTGAGTGAAATTGATGGTGAACATTGCTTGATTGTGTTTAAAAGTGACGGTAAAAATTACAGTGGCTGTAGGGGCGGCCAAGAGAATGACACCTTTAGTAGTGTGATATTCAGAAGAGGATGAATCCAACTGTCGCAAGAAAGAACTCCGAGCTGAGTGCTCCTTGTAGGAGTGTAATCTACTACCGTTCCGATTAGTAGTTCGGATCATACGAAGATCCGATGTACTAATCGGGACGGTGATAGATTACTGAGCAAGGGATTATAAACTGTTTATAATCTCTTGAACTGGGTTGCGGGAGATTCGTGGTAGGCTAGGGCGTTGAACTATGTAAATTCCACGCAGATTTGCAGCAGATTCTAGAAAGTAGGGGATGATCTACTTACTGAGGGTCACTCATGCAATACGAAAACATAGGGCAGAAATAAGACGAGATACTCCGATGTGCCTTGTAATCCAGCCAATTAAATATCGAGTACGAAAAAAGATCTTAGCCTCTTTGACCGGTGATGTGAATGGGACTACAGGGTTGGTTAACTTTTTAAAATCAGTAAGCTTTTAGTGCATTCGTAAAGCTTGCAAGTGGGCTGTAGGAGTACCAATTCATGAAAACGGCTGAAAGCTCGCAAATTTAAATTGCGTGTGGGTGATTGTTTTTTTATTCTTTTCTTTTGCATCTTTTTTGCTTATTTGTTTCGGCGGCTCCGGTTTCATTGATGCACTGTACGATATTGTCATCTCACGCGCATTTCCAATAACTCCTAGGAAGTTAGAGTGCCGTTAAACTTTTAGATCTTATCACACAATGCATATAGTAACTCTTGATTGTTTTTTCAAGTCGCTTGCCTTTGTAGTCTGCGCTGATCTGCAGTTTTCCATTTCTTTGTCATAAATAAATTCAAACCAGTTACGCGAATTTAGAGACAAACATATTAAAATTTAACCGCATGATTTTCGCCCGAAGAAATTCTTTGTAAAATAATCTTTAAGCTCATGCCTGGCAATCCTTCCAATATCATTTACCAGGGTACCATTATTGTAGTTAATAGAATGCAGTAATTAAAGAAAAAAACGACTGCAAAGATTTACTATATTGTCATGAATTTTCGCTATGCGTTTTGTGACCTGACTATACACTGATAATCTTTATAGATTCAGAACTATTCTAAGCAATCTAAACTTCCCAATCATTTATTTGGTAACCACGTGTGGTCGCAGAAAAAAAAGATGTGAGTGGTCAGGAGCTTCCAAACTAACCTTCTACACCGCTGTTTTCACTTTTGATATTTGCCGGCTTACAAAAAAACTCTCTTTGCTAACTGTGATAGAATTATAGATCAGATTTGCTACAACAGTAGCTTGTCACAGTTGTTTTTCTAAACAAACCAAGTCGTTTGTAAAAGGCCAGAATGATAGCTTGAACATGGGTCGTTTTACCTCCGGAGCACTTTTCCTTTCCTCGTTTATGATTTCTAAATGATAGTTGTCTTGGGGCGGTTCGAGAGGAAGGAGGTTGGCGAGGTTTGTCCTTCGACGCGCAGCAGTTTTTTCAAAACAAACGTGTTTAAAAATTTTTCGTTAATCTTTAGCCGCCTTTTCATGCAATCTTTATCTTTTACTCGTGCAGACTGATACACAAACGAACAAAAGATGGTGTATTTTTGAAAAGCAAGAACAAGGAGGGCTGCCTGCTCAGAATTATGCAGCGCGTATTTGTTTAATAAGGAGAGTAAAATTATCTTCGACGAAAGAATACAATTAAATGAAAATTAAGAGAAAATTGAAAAAATTCTCAACGGTTAAGGGGCCCTCAAAAATAAACATAAGTACAAAAATCAAAACAGAAGTTCTAGAAAGAAAAAAACGTTTTTAAATCGCCTGCCTTGATTTGCGTCAACAAAGTAAAATGGTTATTAACACAAAGTAAATTAGGTAGATTTTTCCATATTTAACATCTATAGGAAATTGAAAATTACTAAATCCGCTCCCGCAAAGTGAAAACCCCGGAATGTGATTCCTTTGATAATAAGAAACAAAAGCGACATGACAGAAGTTATTTACACTTTGCAATCTGAAAAAAACACCATTGATGGAAAAATTGGATCGATTTGCATAGAAGATGACTCTAATTCTCACCTAAAAAAGAATTTTGTTCATTGATACTCAAAATTTGTTCCTATATATTTTTCTTACAAGCTTATGCATTTTTTTTATAAATTGGACGATTGAAACTCGTATTTGGTATAAAAGGCTTTGTTATATTTGGTACTACCTCATTATTTATTCGGCATAATTTTTTTCCAATTCATAAAATTATGGAGTAATTTTTATAGATTTCTGATATTCGTAGAGGTAGCACGAGATGCCATTAAACGATTGTGTTCAAATGCTCGATAAAGAATCCAATTTTAAAAGAAATGGTATCTGCTAGTGACGTGATGTCAAGAAGGTTGTCAATCGCAATGAACTGTATGCCATTATTTTCCACCAAAATACAGGTAGTTAAATAAATCTGCATTAGTTCAATTACTACACGTAAACAAATTTTCCGCACCACCTGATATGAGAAAACAAAAATCAAAATTTCCACTCTACAAGGATGCGATTATCAACTGAAGCGATACCTAGTGTGTTGTTTATAGCCGTCACGCAAGTTATTGATTTGGATATTAAAATGCTCAATAATTGTTGTTTTAAAACAAGACTTATTCAAGCAAGTCTGATTTGAATTTGAATGAAGGGGTTTGAATAAATGGGTATTGATCTAAACTGGAGACGTTGGTTTGAGTACAAAAGAAGTTCCTTTGACGGCTGTTGAATTTACACCGCTAAATAGCAGCTTTTCCCGATGCAGATCAAATCAGCGGTTTAAACGGGGCCCATGGTGACAGGACGATATCAAAAGGAACGTAAATAGAGCCGGACGTCAAAACCAAATGAAATTTTTTTGAGGCAAAGCTTAATACCTAATATTGTAGTAACGAGAAGGTCTGGGAAAGTGATCCCCCTGATATTAAAAAAATGTTTTTATATCATGTCGGGTATTTTAAATTACCTTTTTTATTTTTGCACGCCAAATTTAATCGAACTTACGCCTCGCATGTTTTGCGTCAGACAGAAGGAAAACAGAAGGAGATCCCGTGGGTTTTGTAACAACACAGTAAAATTCTTGAAACCTTCAAAAGCCTTTCCAGCCCGTCATTGGAGAATTTTGTCATTGTCTGTCTCGATACCAAGAATATTAGTTCTGTTTCGTTTCTGAAGACTCAAGGTTATGCTCTCATACAGATTGAAATTTATGTCATAAAGTCTCGTTTGCAAGTAATTATTCATGTGGCATCGGAAATTAGGTGAACTTATAATTTTTGCCCGTAGGGCAGCATATTTATTCACAGCTAATTGATGGAAATTTTGAAATAGTGAAATGCGAGATTGGAGAGTACTAATTTGATTTAGTGATGACTTCTCGCAGCATTTTTTTGTTACTCATTCTGCTTGTAACTCAAAGAGAAAGTATTTTAGCGTTATACAGTAATGGGAAAACTGTATCTGATGTCGTTATATTCTACAATGCTTCGAGTAGGTACATGCGGAACATTGTACAAAGGGCAGAATCCTTGTTCCTTGCTAACAGACCGAGGAGCAAGATTAGTCTTGAGCAGGAAGCTTCAGAGGTTTATGTAAATCCTTTGCCCATTGACAGCAATAAGATAGCGCTCAGTCAAGTTGGTGCCAGCGGAGGATCTCTCTCAGATCTGGAATATCTCATCGCAGACTCTGGGTGCCATTTTTGTGGACGTCAACGTTGATGCCCTTTATACTTCGTCACTTTTGGAGGAATTGGATTTCCCGACCATTGGGATCTTTCAAAGCGAGGGACAACCGAGAACACAGGTACACAGTGGTAGCTAGCAGGTAGAAGATTTTCTTAAAATGCTAGGACAATCTTTAAATTATCACTGAACAAATCGAGGATCTCATTCATTACGGTCCCTTAGAGACCACGAGATAAAAATTACATCAATCCTGATTAAGATTTTCTTCCGAACAGTTTAAAGTTCATATTTTCTTAGTGAAAAAATCACCGGCTTTCTTTTAGTTTTTTTCTGTTTATTTGGAGGATCTAACCAAAATGAAACCAAGGTTAGAGGCTTAATTCCAAAATATTTAATGTTGACCAAAGCGTCGCATTTAGTTTTATTTGTTTTTTTCGGGGGGTACATATAATCATACAACCGGATTCACAAACCCGAAAAACCAATAAATCACTTAATCATATATCGTTTTTTTTTTCAAAGCTGGTAACAATTACGAAAGCTTTTCCTTGACCTAATTGTTGATGGATGGAAGTAACCGTAATGCAAATTAACGAAGATTTATATACCACACGATGATTCCTTTTCCTCGCCCCTCAATTAAAACCAGTTTTCTCAGAGAATTTACCAAGGAAAGGCTGGCATCTTTTGTTTCTATTTCCGTTTCATTTTTATCGATTTTTGGACGCATTTTCTCTAAAAAATTTTCGTGTTAATTGTAATGACTCAAAGATATGCAAATCCACTTTATTTAAATCCAGCTGATTTTTTAGACTCCTAACAGATGAATTATTTCATCAACTCAGATTCTCTGACGAGTATCTGAAGAATTATGGAAAATTTTTTTTTTCCTAAGTATTTAATGGCGTTCACATCGGATCAGTCGTCATGATGGAATAACAGTATCAAAAATATCTCACTATTTGAAGCAGTCTCTTTATTCCATCAACACCTGTAAATTTTAATTAAAGGAGTTTAAAAACAGTAAGTTTTGTTCTGC